CGGGTAAGGGAGAAGGAGAAGTGAAGAGTGAAGGGAAGGGGTTTTGGAGTAATGCCGTAATGGATAATTGCCAATTGGATATTATTTCATTTATATGGGATTTGAGCCTAATTTTGAAATAGGCTCAATTCTTGCCGCCCAAAACAAAAGGGCCAAAACTAAAAAAAAAAAAGCCTAAATTTTTTTTAATTACCTAACAAAAAAAGGCTCAAAACTTACCTCCCTTCCCTTCTTCATCAGTTCTTCTTCCTGTATTCTCTCCATCCTTTGCAACACAGTCACCCAGCGGCGCCCGGCGGTTTGAAGGTTTCAACGGACTCAGCACGGGCTCGCCAGGTGCTGGGTCCGCCACTGCTCACACCCCAAAATCAAAATCAGAAAATTCATCGTCTCTCGTCGGCCCCTACTTTTAAGCATTTACCTCCATCTCACTCAACCTATCAAGATCCTTATCCTCGTTCGTCTTAATATTATCTCAGCCCATATTCAACACCGAAATATCAATCCTCGCCAGCCGTTTCCGCTTTAAAACCATCACCTTCGATAACCCATCTTCTCCTTCATCTTCATCTTTATTGTTCAATGGTTTTTTGATAGCTAAGGGCAATGACGAAAGAGACAACAGAGGAGGTGAGGTGGGAGGCTTGCAGAAAATCGACTATAATCTATTTGAGGATGGAGTAAACATCTGAGAGCTTGATGTTGCCGCTATAGCAAAAGACATAATTTGATTATGTTTTACTCTTTTCGTTCTATTATTTGTCAATTGCTAATTCTTCTCTTTGTTAAATCAAAACCAATTTTTTGATGGAGAAGAAGGGTTCACACTTGGGTGTTTATATAGACGTGAAGATGGAAAGTGTAGGAAGATGGCCAGTGAATTTTTTTATTTTGATTTGGGGGTGGGAATGGAAAAGGTAAAGGAGATAACATAGTTTTAGGTTTGGGTGGGGGGGTTTGGATTTTTTTATTTTAATTATTTTATTATAGAAAATGTAAAGTTGCCATTTTATCCATTTGGACTCTGGGTGCAAGTTTTTTAAAAGTTTGGACAAAGTCTGCAACTAAATGAAAGGTTCAGTATCATGACTACAATTTCCCTATTTTTTATGTCAAGTTGAAATTATGTAAAGGGTAAACTTAAAAGGGTTATTTTTGTTGTACATAATGTACCCCCTAGCATTGCTCAACTTAAAAATGTAAATGGAGCATCCTCCCTTCACAATCGCACTGACCTCCATCCACCGCAAACAATCTGCCTGCAAACAGTCCCTCGACGATGCACTCACCTCCACCCCAACGTCACACTCACCTCCCTTCACAACCACACTCTGCTCCATCTCCAACACTAATGTACGTATATTTTTTTTAGTTTTGTACACAGATTTTGAGAGTGATTTTTTTTTCACGGTGTTGTACATGGATTTTGAGATTGGATTTTTTTTTATCTCCGGCGCTAATGTCAATACATATTGTTATATTGTGAATTTTTGTGTGATATGTATTTAAATTTTGTTTATCCACTTACCTTTTTTTAAAGTTCATCTCCCCGGTGTATTTTTCTGTATTCGCCCTGAATAATATGGTTTATGTTTGGTTTTCATTTAGACACAAAATATCGAACAGTTTAATGTCTTGTTTTATAAGTAGAATTGTTGGTTTTATTGGTTAATGTTAGTTATGGAGCTCTTTCTTTAATGTCTTCTTTTATAAATTAGAATTGTTAAATGTCTTCTTTTATTGTCAGTTCTTTGACATGGATTTTGAGGTTGAATAATGGTCTTTGACATGGATGATTAGATTTAGGGTTTACTGTAATTGGAGTATTGGACACTAATAATGGTTGATGTGGGATTTTGTAAATCAATTGCATCCATGTCCGTTTATTTGCGTGTTCAGCAATTATCGACTAGAATGAGAGAAAGGAATTATGAAATTTGTCACAGTTGCATAAGCAACACTTACTACTTTGGACAATGCCAAACAAAATGTCGATGGCCTTGGTGTAAACACGAATATCGAAAATATTTTGAGGTCGAACGGGATACTAGCAACAAATGGCGATTGTTCTTCACTTATGGTAATGATTGTGGATATTTCGACTAGGTGAAAGAAGAAGATTTAAGCGAGAAATCGAGATCCGTTAATGAAGTGGTGAATGATGAGCCCAATGAGGAAGATGAAGAGTTGCCAATAATCTTTGACAGGCTAGCTCGAATTAGCCAGAAATGAAATGTCGACATATCAATACACTTGACTTTCCGCAAGGGAAAGGGAATTGCGAAGTGTGATGGGAAAGGAAAGGGTTCAACTTGAACGGGTGATTATGTTTGTGGTAGATAGACTACTATGATGTCAATTTGAATTTACTATATGGTTTATCGTAACGTATGAACAATTTGGTCATTATAGGCTATAAGATGTATGGTTAATTTCGTCGAAATTGCTTGATCATTTAACATGGGATTGTTGTTAGGTTTGCTATAATATATTATCATACTGGGAGGTAGGGGGACATAGTCTTTCGGTCTTTAAATTTTATGGTCGCTAGAAGTTTATGATATACTCATTTTCATTTTTGTTTGCAAACATCCCCGTCTGAATTCTTAAAAAAAAAAAAAAAGAGAGAGAGAGAAAGCGGAGAATAACATAGGTTTGAGAATGGCAAGTCATTTGAAGAGGAAGTGAAGCTAGTTTCAACACATTTTCTAACTTTAAAAAAGTTGATTTTACTTTTAATTTTGTTTCCAACAAATAGCACATCAATACGTAATACAGTTTAGAATAATTAACAGTCCTCCAAAATGCCTAACAAAATAGTTGAATTGAATACATCACAGACTTATAAATTCTCTACATGTTGCACGAGACGATGCTGCTTGTATGAATGGTTAGCAAGTGAAGTGATACAAGCATATAGTGACACCAGCTTCCAAAGTAGACGGCGTTGTTCTTACAATATGAAGCTAGACATGTATATTCAACATGTACACCTCCAATCCATTCTCCTATTTACATGTGCTCTAATACAAATAACATCACTATCATGTCCTACATATACTAAGATTTCCTACTTTTAAGTGGTGACTACCAGTACTACTAAAAGCAATGATACAAAACAACAAAGTAAATGTCATAAAATAAAGTTTATGAAGTAAATGTGTCCAAATGTACCTTCCCCGCGAGAATCACAGGCTTGTGCCACCTTGTTAAGGTAAATGTTGATAGTAGTATGGCATGACATAACCTAGGTTAGAAGATGAAAATTAGAATATGTTTAAATGAAATTATCATACATAAATACCTAACAACGAGCAATGTATTTACCTTGAGTATTGACTATAACATCGGTAGGCGGCGGACGGACGAAAGTTGAATACGACAAGTGTTGTGTGATGGTTTGACTGGCATTGTAACCCTGCATGAAATAACTTCATGTTTAACACCTTTAACCAATTAAATGAATTAACACAATATACTAATCAATAGGTGTTGTGAATATGATAATGGTGACATCATACAACATTGTGGTAGTTGAGATGCCTGGATGTTGGTTGCTTCCTCTTTTGTAGTACTAGACTTAGTTCTCGGGCTCTTTCCCTTGTTTGACGCTGAAGTGGAATGTATGTTCATAGATGAAAATCATTATTTGGCTTCAAATTCCCAATACATTAAGAAGGTAATTGTGAAAAATACCTTTACTATCTTCGAAGTGGACTCCAATGGGCTTTTTCGCCAAAGTTTCCTTGGCTCGCCCTTTCAGTTCCAAGATATATAGGATCTAATATGTTGATGCTGCTAGTATTTTGTGAATCTTAACAAGTAGAGCCCAAGTTCATATTATTCTGCGAACGGACAGTGCTTTCGATACTTGACTTTGACATTTGCAAATATGCTACTTATGATTTTATCCAAAACATTATAGTACGCGTCAAACTTTCGTCATCTGCCGCAAGGTCTGCCACCTCTGAAAAAGCCTGACACATACCGTTACATCTCAACTGTTTAGGGGTACTCACCAATCTGTCGTAATTCACTGCGATCCTCGTGTGTGCTCTACTGACATCTCTCATCCATCTCCTTAGTATAGACCTATCCGACATTAACTCTGCGATCGCATGCTTGCAAATGATTCCTCGAAACTCGAACAAGTGGCAGCTACAAATCAATTCTCATCTCCCTTCGAAATGATACTCAAAAAGTTTTCTTCTTCCACTGCTCGTGATATAAGACATGCTTCCGCACATCGTAAGTCGTCCAAAAATAGTTATTGTTATTTTCAGATATGTCGTAGCAGTATACCTTTTCAATTAAATTTTGTTGAACTTCTTTGAACTTTGAAATGGTATAAACTGTTTGAATTACTTTTCTATTTCAAAAGATGTTGCACAAGGTACCATTTGGAAGAAGGACTTGAAATCGGCATGAAACTCCTTCTCAACCTTATTTCTCAGTGCTTTTTCATATTATTCGACGAACTGCTTCAACGAGGTCTTCGAATGCACATATCCATCGAAAAATGCATTCATACTCTCACTTCATTGGGTTGTAGACATCCCTAGCCAAAACATGGTCTTCAAATAACTTGGAACCTAACAATCCCCGTTCTCATACAATCCCGATAACCAATCATTAACATATAAGTCATACGTATCGAGCATCAACCTCCAACATTCTTTGAATTCTTCAACAATCTCCGAATCATATACCAATTCATGTATAGTAGAAAATATCGAGCTCTTTTGAATGTGGTAACCAAACTTTTCTAGCAACTTCTTCATAATATGTCACAAACACCATCTATATTTTGTATTCTTTAAACAATCTCAATTGCATTTGGCATTGCCCGATCTCGATCAATAATGATTCCATTGGGAGTTTCACCATGTATGCACTCAAGCCATGTCCTGAACAATCACACAAAGTCCTTGTGTCCTCATTTGATAAAAAACCACAACCAATCAATGTAGATTATCCATGATGATTCACCCCAACAAAGGGGGCAAAGTGTCGTACTTATTAATGAGATACGTAGGATCAAAAGTGACAACATCACCGAACTCTTTGTAAGATTACCTACATCTGTTATCTACTCAGAAAACATTCTTTAGTCTTGACTCATTGTCTAAATTCATACTGAAGTAAATCCTGAGCATCGTGCTTGCATATTTGAAAAGTATGCATGTATTGCGTTGGTATCTCCTTCTCCAAGGCGTAATCGTCTCACCTGTTCAATATAGTTCGGACAATCCTGCTCTACAAAAGTCGTATTCTCATATCTACCTGCTTCCAAAACTGCAGAGTTGTAACTTATGTGTAAGTGAATTCCTGCGATATTATTGACTTCGAGCTTTCGTTTCACATTTGCACTGAATTTTCAGTTGCATCGATATAATTTTTATTACAAAAATTTAATCGTAAAAATAAAGAAAATAAAATATAATTATCTTACGACCTCAGTACCTTGTTAATCTAATGTAAAAACTGGCGTAAGTTCACATTGTTCAATCTATTTTTGTACACAAATATGTACTCCAATTTTCATTGCAATATTGGAACAATGTTGAGAATTTAGATCCAAAATATGAATTCCCATCACAGACCTCACATCATCGATTTGATAATGTTATGTCATGTGCAATTCTGAACAATACAAAGTACCAAAATCGTTACATTGACTCCTTGTCAACATAAATAAAGTTGTGCCATCTCATCCATTCACCATTTTTTCTATGGCAGCATCACAAGCGTTACATTGACTCATTGACAACATCTTGACAAGGATCAAAAGCTAGTGTTTTTATGCTAGATGATGTTAGATGTTAGAGGATATGTAGAATGATGAGATATGTAGGATCAAAAGTGACAATATCACCGAACTCTTTGTAAGATTGCCTACATTTGTTATCTACTCAGAAAACATTCTTTAGTCTTGACTCATTGTCTAAATTCATACTGAAGTAAATCCTGAGCACCGTGCTTGCATATTTGAAAAGTATGCATGTATTGTGTTGGCATCTCCTTCTCCAAGGCGTAATTGTCTCACCTGTTCAATATAGTTCAGACAATCCTGCTCTACAAAAGTCGTATTCTCATATCCACCTGCTTCCAAAACTGCAGAGTTGTAACTTATGTGTAACTAAATTCCTGCCATATTATTGACTTTGAGCTTTCGTTTCACACTTGGACTCAATTTTCAGTTGCATTGATATAATTTTTATTACAAAAATTTAATCGTAAAGATAAAGAAAATAAAATATAATTATTTTACGACCTCAGTACCTTGTTAATCTAATGACTAATGTAAAAACTGGCGTAAGTTCACATTGTTCAATCTATTTGTGTACACAAATATGTACTCCAATTTTCATTGCAATATTGGAACAATGTTGAGAATCTAGATCCAAAATATGAATTCCCATCATAGACCTCACATCATCGATTTGATAATGTTATGTCATGTGCAATTCTGAACAATACAAAGTACCAAAATTGTTACATTGACTCCTTGTCAACATAAATAAAGTTGTGCCATCTCATCCATTCGCACCACTTTTTCTATGGCAGCATCATAAGCGTTACATTGACTCATTGACAACATCTTGAGAAGGATCAGAAGCTAGTGTTTTTATGCTAGATGATGTTAGAGGATATGTAGAATGATGAATAACATTCCAAATGCTCGTTGATTAGTTAGAATATCAAAAATTTGATAAAAATTGAGAAAATCTCTGCCTCAACACAATATTTTTTATTCAAAAACCAATGCTTTAGCTTCAAATTTTGCCTTAATTTAAAGGAATTACAAAGCTACCTCGTTGAGTTATTTCTTTTAACATTGTTGCACTTATCAAGAAGATGAAAATTGTGACCAGGTCAAAATCATCATAAATGCTACAATTCTACTAAAAAATTGTGCCATCCGCCTTCAATTGCTCGCGTGCTGCAATTTTTAAGTCTTTTTTTTAGTAAAAATAATGAAATTTTTATTAAGAAGTGAGTTGCTCAGCTCGTCCTATCATGAATTGAGCTCACGGATCGAGCTTGAGCCCTATTTTTGGTGAACAAGCCAACCTAAGCTCGGCTTCTCTCCTACTGGCCAATTTCGGGTCACCTAAGTCCAATTGGATCTGTCCATTGCCATAGCTAACAATATACATGTACAATGACTTTGATAACACGGATGACATTCTTGTGAGTTGGCAATATTTTAAATAATCAATGACACAAATTTTGGCAACTTACACAATGTCATCTAAAAATGTACATTTAAGGTTGTGTTTGGTTCTGATTTTTTACAGATTAAAATTACAAAATTGACTGTTATCTTATCCATGAGGGCCCACACGAGAGAGAGACAGTCAACTATTACGGCTGGAACCCATGACAACGGTCAGATAATGATTAAAAATCAGATAAAAAATTACAAACAGACACAGCCTAAATTAATTTATATCGGACTACGAACAGCCTGGTCTCTACACATTATAACAAACAATGGGGGTATCAAGTAGAATTTGAAACAAATTAGAGGGTAATTTGTAATATTCAAAATTAGGAACGCCAGTCTATAAAGTATAAACCCAGGGTGAGCCGGTGAGTTCAGTGCCTTGCACTGGTCGGGTTCTGTTTTCAGTTTATTCAAAAAGCTTGTAAAGATGATGCCGAACTCGTTCCCAGCTCACCGGCCCACCGAGTCAATTTACCGCCAACTCGTCGAGTTTGCTAAAACCGTCCTCGTCAGGATCTTCGTTCCCCCTTACGCCACCGTTCGTACATTTTTTCTTTCATTTTTTTCCTTTCATTTTTATGATCTTTTGAACTTGAATTTATGAACACCCGTACGTGCTTAATTATGTTATAAATTTGATGTATAGGTGTGTGATTTGTACTGCGGGAGAGTACCCGATGAAGAAAAATGGGATGAAGCTCAAATTGGTCACTACATTGGCATTGGTAATTTGTTTAATTCTTTCCTTACTTTTCTGATGATGGATCCCACTGCAAGGTACGGGACGATGTGTGGTTTATATCTCCCAATATGTATAACATAAGACTCGGAGTTTAATCTCAAAATGTCAATATTGTTAGGAGAAGTAGCCCAAGCCTATACAACATCTCCAAAAGTCTCTTTAAATACAGTATAAAAATACGCTTCGATATTGAAATAGAGAATGAGGTTAGCTCTCCAAATTCTATATTCTTACAATTTATACTGAAATGGTATATTCTGTGTAGATGTGGCAACAACTGGATTGAATGAAGTAAAAGAAGCATGGGAGAGTCAGCGCAAGGCTTACACTTCTGAGTTCTTTGAGCTTGATCCTTGCATTGTCAGCCCCCTAATCCATCTCTGTACTGATATTTATAGTTTCGTGTTTTTCTTTTTGATTTTGATATGCAGCGTACCTATTAATTTAAAAATGATTTGGTTAAACTCTGTGAAAAGTCTTTTGCAATGTGTGATGAAATATGTAAAGGAGTTAAATCTATAGTTTTGGTTCAACTGGGGTGATGGAGGGGAAAGCGGAGTGGAGAAGGATGAACTTTCATTCCCCAAGTTGACATACTTCATTTACTTTTTCATTTATATCTTCTTTCATTATGATACGAAGGAAGAGTGGATGAGTTGCTTTCTGTTGACAGTTCTAATTAGAAGGAGATGCAATCTCTTGTTGTCTTCTTAGCATTATGGATGGAGATTCCCAAAGCTCAGTAAATGAGTGTGGAGGTTCTACACATATTTTGTGAATTTTAATGTTCCTGAGATTTTGTTACTTTTAAGTTAGGCATTTTTGGTGGGGCCTGAAAAACCATTAAGGTTGCGTTGATGTTTTGCATAAAAAAAATAATAATAATAAAAAATAAAAATTAGGTATTTACCGGTTTGAGCAACACATTTCTTCTGCAGGAGGACATGGAGCCGCATTTGAAGGACAGGGAAGATAAGGCTGATATTGCTTTCTGTATGCACCATTTGCCGGTAGGAAATATGTCCTATAGTGTTTTGCCACTTAAATGCTAGTTTATGTCTTCCAGTATGACTGTAGATACATAATAAGTCCACTTGTAGCTGTGCTTTGAATCTGAGGAGAAAGTGAGGAAACTGTTGTACAATGTCTCATTGCTGCTGAAACCAGGAGGTTATTTTATTGGTATCACTCCCGACTCATCTACAATATGGTATGACAGTCGCCAGTTATTTATGTTTGTTTACATGTTTGAAACTATTCTTCTAGTATATATCATGCCTGACATTAGGCTTCCCTTTATTTTAAGATCTTGCTGGATTGTATTACTTTGTTGTTGAATGTCAACCTAATAAACTCATATACGGAATCTTAAAGTTGTTTCTATTTTTTATTAAATTGTTGACAAATGATCGAAAATACATGAAGCGGGAAGAGCTTTGTTGTCTAGGGCCTGAAAGATGCCCTGGAGTTCTAGCCGATTCAACCTGATTTTTTGTGGGTGATCATTATAATTAGGAGCTTGCAGTTGAACTTGTGAAACCAATGAGATGCATTTTCCTTTGATGTGAGTTTGTTAATTGGTATGCTATCAGCTCTTTCCAGGTTTGAAAGGTTTTACACACAATCAATATATACTTAGCGATTCTGAAACTAAGGGAATGAAGGGAATTGTAAAGGTCCAATTGGTAGCGACCAAAAAATGAAGGTTCCTTCCTATAGAATTCTGCATTTCCTGGATCCAATCTGGCGATTTGGTGCGGAAGCGTTATAAAATTCCTGTAATAAGAATTGAAAATAAGAATTATATTGGAATAATCTTGCTTTGTTTTGATATATGATTGATTGATTAAAAAGTGTGCAATACCCCTATATTTATAGGTCAAATTATCCCTAATCCTATTAATAAAAGAAAATTAAAATAAGGAAACTAAATTCTACGGAACTGCAGAAACATATAGCATTGAAATCATTACAAAGTTACTATAGCGGATGTGCTTGATTTGACCAAAAAATGCATTTTTTGTGTGAAAATGGCAAACAAACGAAGGCTTGTACTGATTTATGATGGATTGTTGTTCAAAATTGTACAATGCCTTTGTATTTACATGCATAACTATTCCATAATCCTATTAATATAAGGAAACTAATATAAAATCCTAATCTCAAAAAAATTAGAAATCTTATTCTAATCAATAAAGAAAAAGTGAATTTTCCAAGAGAAAGTGAAATTTTTATGTACTTCCATATTTTTAATTTCTTGCCCCCTTTTAACTTGTGAAGCTTGATAGCAAGATGAATAATTTTCTGATTTCAAATTTAAAACTTTCACCGATACTTTGGATACCAAGTTCTCACTACTTTTATGATTTATTATCACTTTGCATATTTTGTTGTTGATGATGCATCGTGTTCTAAAAATCTTCTTGCACTTCAAATTGGACTCTTTTATCTTCGCGATAAATTTTCGTAGATTTCTTAATAACTTGCGCGAATTCAAACTTAGTTGGGACTCGAGGAAACTCTCTAGCCACCTATTGCCGTGTTTTAAGCTTGTTGAAGCAACCAACATGTATAGCAGTTAACGTCTGTAAATTCTTGTCATCTTACTTCTCCATGAGCTCGTGATTCCTTTTAAAACTCAACGTAGTTAGCATCTACGTGATGTTGTGAAGGATTTCATAGATCCCCTCGATTCGTTGTTCGAGTTTGTTGAGCTTCCATTCGTCGTCGACGATTCGACTGCCACCAGGACCATCGACAGCCATCAGATTGAGACAATTTCATTGCTCTGATACGAATTTTGGTGTGGATAAAATTCTTGTAATAAGAATTATACTAGAATAATCTTGCTTTGTATTGATTTATGATTGATTGTTGTTCAAAATTGTACAATGTCTTCGTATTTATAGGCAAAACTATTATCTAATCCTATTAATATAAGAAAATTAAAATATGGAAACTAATATAAAATTCTAGTCTAAGAGAAATTATAAATTATAATAAAGAAAAGAAATCATATTCTAAATAAGAAATAAGAATAAAATGATAAAATCTATTAGAATTAGAAAAGGAAACTAGAAAAGATAAATCACAATTGTAGTATGAAACTACTATTCATGATTATGTACTACATCATGATTAGCCTTTAGGTCCTCCAGTCAAACCAGTCCATCCACCCCCCCTCCCCCTTCTCTCTGAACTCAACAAAAAAAGAAAAAAGTAAATAAATAATAAAAAATAAAAAAAAAGAGGAAATATTTCCGAAGTTCCTTTGTTTCCAACTGTGGACTACTTGTCTAGAAGGTGAGATGACTTACAGCTTATTCTGTTCGTGCAATAGTACTTAGTAGTTACGGCAGCGTGGGTTCTTTCCTTCCCTTTCTTACATATTTATCATGTATTTATCTATTGGTGCTTTTATTAAAGAAAAGAAAAGATTTCTATTTTTATTTCACATTCGAGATCCTTTATCACGTGATAGTAATTTCCTAGTTTATGCAGATTATTAATATACTCGTCATCTATCACATATTTGTTCTTGTTTGCTCGACAAAAATAAATTTAAGGTTCTCTGAGTCTTTTATGCCTATCTAAACTAGCACATAATGGCGTAACCTTGTAGGAATAAGTACCAGAAAAATGTTGAAGCATACCACAACAAAAGTAGTGGAATGAAGCCCAACATTGTTCCCAACTGCATTAGATCTGAGGGCTACATGATCACTTTTGAAGTTGAGGAAGAGAAGTATATTTCCAATTTAATACATTCTCAGGCTCAATTTCTTTGCATTACTTTCTTGTGACATTTGGTTGTTTGTTGCTAATTATGTTAAATTGACTCCCAGGTTCCCCTTCTTTGGTAAAAAGTACCAGTTGAAATTTGCAGGTGATATTTCTGCCGAAACCCATTGCTTAGTCCATTTCCCAAGCTTACTCAGGTTAATATTTTCTATTATGATTATAAGCATGTGTCTTTTTGTATGGTTGTAATGATTCCATCCTTGGAAAGTGTTTACACCTTTAGGGCCTGTTTTTCGGCAGTATGTTTGGCAGCCCAAAGCTTGTTAGTGTTTTGCCTAAGTGCCATATATTAGCACAGGGAATAGCTTCCTTCAAGCTTGATACTATTACTGCATCTTGTGTCCCCCTTGGGTCTGTCATGCAAAGATGTTTCCATCAAATCAGGTTAATTGACCTTTGGAAGCTTAATAAGACAATGACTAATCAAAGCTTGGGAATAACTAGTAAATAAATCCTTGAGTTGATGATTTAATTAATATCTTTGTGCATGAGAATGTTGGAACATTTATATATCAATATATTTGTGAAAATGAAAAATCTATTTTTTTTCAGATAATTGTTTTATTACAAGAATTTAATCGATGTGTCATCCCAATTATCCCTTTATCTTGCACTGTAAACTGCAACTCCAACTTTTGTGGACACACTAGTAGTTTTCCTTTTCCTTGGAAAAGGGAGAAGGGCAAGGAAGGATGGATGTATCTGCTCCTATCCATATGCTTTCATGGGGGTAAAACCCAATTAAGGAAATAGGCTATGCATGATGCAAGTGGCTTCAACATGCTGATGTTTTGATTGATAAGCGTTTGCTTTGAGATGCTTATTACGCATTATTCCTTTGACATTTTAAATTTCAGTTATCAGAATTGGTAATTATGTTCCACAGGTTGGCTAGAGATGCTGGTCTTGAGTACATGGAGATAACAAACTTGACTGAATTTTATGACGATAATAGGTATTAGCTTTCTTTCAACTTTGTTATCTATGTTCTCTTACTGTTTTTATGATTGCCCATAACTTTTATGGGTTATTGAAATATAAACAAACACCTTGTTTATTACAATCTGTTGTGCACTTCAAAATTTTGATATCATGGATTGCATCTAAATGTTGTGCTAGGCCTTAAAAACATAAGGTAAACTTCAAACTAATTCACTACGATCAGTTTCAACATACATTTTAAAGAGTATATTGTATAGCCAAGAAGAGAGGAAACAGAAAGTCCCCATGAATGACCTACCATTACATTAGCATTGTTCATTGAATGCTAATTATTTAGGTTGTGTTGTTTTATCTACAAATAATTGTAACTAATGTTTATTTGCAATTAAGCTGTAGCATAACTGATGAATAAGCCCATGTTTGAGCTGCACTCTTTAAAAAGTCATTTTTTAAAACTCATTTTCGACCACACATTCTCCCAATAATAAATTTACAAGTAAGCCCAAAACTTGTTCCCATTTTTAACCACACATTCTCTAAAAATTTACTATTACAAAATCTATTTTCCCAAATAATGGGGCTTAAAAAACCCTTAGTATTGTGTCAGATATTACTTTTTTCTCAGCCCTAGTGGCTCAAAAAATACTTTATTGATATTGTTTTGAGTTTCTATCAAATGTTTGATTTTGTTAAAGGTAATCAAGAGTTGCTATTGTTCTCCATGGTGTTTTGATAAGTAATGGTCCATGGATGTTTTCACGGTAATCTATTAATTGTTAGGAACATATGGATGCATCATGGTTTTAAACTATACAAATTTGTTATTTTATAATGTGATTTGTGCTTACTAAATTTTTTTGATATACACACCGAGTGTTCTGCTAAATAACGTCAAAGGAAATAGTAAAGGATAGTAGTTACCTGTTTCCTCTTGCTATACTATCCATAAATTGGAATTGTTTTTACAAAAAAACGCTGCTGAACTTTACTTTTTCTTCGGTTGTGTGCTTGAAATATTTGAATCCAATATAGTTCTTTGATGTTACATTTTTCTTCAAATACTGTTTTTACAATAGATAAGTGTTCCCAAAGCACGGTCTGCTCTTATTTTTTTGCTTTTCTTTTTTCTGCTGTAAATAAACTCCCCTTCTAGATTGTCATTCTCACCCCAAAGATGGCTATGACTAGTTGGAGAGGGAATTCCGGATTTCTGAATCTCTACTCTAGTATGGACAGGGTTGTCTTTTTTTTCTAGAAGCTTGTTTGTGTAGCAAAATGATACTGACCAAAAAAAAGGTTAAATATAGCTGCAATTCCTTATATTATTGAATTTGAATTTCTGGGTAGCTTCTAAGCTCTAAAAAATGACACTGTTATTGAAAGGTTAACATCCCTTGGCTCTTAAGAGCACAATTTGCAGGGATGTTGATGGATGCTGGTCCCAACCTTGTTGATCCTAGAGGGAGACTTCTTCCCAGATCATATGATGTTTTAGGTGATTCATTCACTACACGTCTTATTAGATTAGAATTAACTTCTTTGAACTTTTTTAAGTTACACATGCTTCTTTCTGAATTTTTCTGCAGGTCTATACACCACATTCATTTTTCAAAAGCCTGATCCAGATATTGCCCCTCCTCTCTCCACACCAGTGTTGGAAGATGGGAGCTACAATCATGATGAGGCAAGTGTTCGTAAAAATAGAAAGGGTATCATAAAAAAGGGCCATTGTTTTAGGCACAATAGATTTCGTAACTGACAGGTGTAGTTTATTCTATGTGCTTCGTAACCAAAATATTATCATTAAAGTAGCTGCGGTCTGACTTCTGTAGCAGCAAAGTTTTAACTCATAAAAACAATGAATCAGACTAAATAATGTCTTAAAGTCATGCTGTGGTGGACATTTGGCTACTTCACTGTCTTTTGATGCACCATGAAAGTTATACCATGTTGCAGCCATTGGCGCCGTAGATTTATACCCTACATATTGTGGGTCTTAAAGTTATGCTTTTAAAGTAGATGCCACACTATATAGAACTTTAGAAGGAATATAGAGTGAGATCATTACAAAGCTCTTTTAACTAGCGGTGATGTTTACCATGTCTATGTGACAAATGGTCCTTGCCTAGCGATGTATTGAGACTTAATTAGTGGAATTAGGAAAACCAGTGCTTGCAGAGACATTGAAAAAAACCCAAATTGCTTTCACGTCATGGTTGACGGTAAAAGCTGTTAGACATAAAAACAATGGCTCTCAAGTTAATCTCTAGTTTATTTCCCACCACAAATGTTGCATTTGGTCTATCGGAATTGTTATGGCAGGTAAGGAATGGAATTACCATTTCCATTCACCTGTTTTTATCAACCTCGTGATACGGATATGACAGGAAATCAAATTTGATCCTTATTCTAATCCTGTCTTCATTGGGCAGGGAGAAATCTGGAGAGTAAATAAAAATGACAAGATTACAATCAGATTCTTATAACATATTAGAATTAGAAAAGATTTTGTATGGTTGATTCTTCAATACAAAGATTATTAAAAAAAAAAAATTAGCTAATTTTTGTTAGAATTTGTTTCTTTAAATGATCTATATAAATTCCTAGTCTAAGATTAGACGAGCTTCTAGAATATGAAAGGAAGGGGAAAATGAGAAGTGAAGCAGGTTTTAAGAGGTTCTGTAGGTGACATTGCTTTTTGGGGTTGGGGAGCTGAAGGTTTCAAGCAGTTTCTGTGATCTGTTTGTTATTGGTGATGGTTTCCATGGTCGCATGGTTTTGAAGTGGTTTTCTGTAAAGGGTTCTGTAGAAATTTCATCAAGTCTGTAATTATTAAGGAGCTGCTTTAATAAAAGCACGTTAGAGCTATTGACAATAAACTACAGGATGTGGAAGGATTTGAATTTGGGTCCATGTATATAATCATAATTCCAATATTTTGTAGTCGGTGTCAGTTATTGGATAATAATTTAGTTTTAATTGCAATGACTCCGAGGATATAAATTGTAAGTTTTTAACTATACATGACTATTTTGGAATCCGAGGATTTCATGTTAGGAATTAGAACAGAATGTGCGTAATGTCCTTTTAGTCTAAGTGTGAATAGGGGCTGTTCTCGATTTAAAATAGATCATTTTATCCAAGAGAACAATTTTAACAAGTACTAAAGGTTAACTATTAATAAGGAAATAGGGATTGAATGTGAAGTTGTGCATAAGATTATAATCTCTATAGTATGGACATTTCGACTAAGGTAGTGTGTCCGTGTCTGTGTCGGGCTCGTGTTGGATGCCGACACTCATCGTGCACTCTATCATAGTCATTTTTCTTTCTTTATTGGAAATATTATATATTTTTAACTCAAAGTTATTATAAAATAACAAATAGGTACACATATTTAAAAAATTTCAATAAGAAAAATTAATAACTAGTATAAAATTAAATGTATACTATATAAGTGAAGAATTTTAAATAATTTAATTAGAGTATCCACTGCATGTTATGTAAATACTTTTTTGAAAAATCACGTGTCGTGTCGTGCGGAACACAGTGTCCGTATCGATGCATCATAGATTATAGGATGAAATTGAGAAGTACAAGAAATACTATGTGGTAAGAACCTACCAAGCCAAAAGTAGAATTTTATAGAGCGGCTGTTAAATTGACCATGCCATATGGTACTATATATTGGGCCATTAAAGAACTAAAAGGTCAACGAGATGAATATAAATGAAACGAGGTTATTGAGATGGATATGTGGTTATGTTAGAATTGATAAAATAAAAAATGATTATATATGCCACCAAGTGGAGGTGATACCAATTGAAGATAAATTAAGAGAAAAAGAGAGAGATGATTCAAATATTTGGGATATCTATTAAATGAATATAAAGAATCTTCCATTCACAAGAGCACGTGTCAAGTGGAATGAGTTAGAAATTGAGAGAGTTTATAATTGCATGATGTGATATAGTTAAAAGATTTAACTTCCTTGGACACTGCAAAAGAGAGCGTTCAAGTTGAATGGAATGACAAAAGTGTTTATGTATCCGACGTAAGTTGATTGGTACTTTTTGTTACTAGAAAGTGGAAGCCAAACAAAGAAAATTTCACTAAATCAAGTTTACCATAAAAATGTGTCATCTCAACCTTATTGTTCCTTTTTCAAACTAAATGCATGGAACATGTTTAGTATTTTTGAGGAGGAAAAAGGGAAGATCAAACAATGTTTTAGACATTTAGTTCATAGTATCTTAAAATAGGATTGCAAATAAACCGAATCGATCAAAATTACAAATTATTTAAACTGTAGTGGTTTATTTAATGCATTTTTTTTTTGTTTGTTTGTGATCTTAAAACACGTATTTGTTTTCATTTGTTAATATTATATTTGCAAACAAACACATTTCTATTAATCATTTTGATATTAAAACATATACTTTAATAAAAGCAATGTCCCATCTAATAAAAAATGTTGAAAAAAATCTTAAGAGATGACAAAAAAGAGTTTAAATATCCTTTAATGATGATTTTAAATATATCATAAAGATAAAAGGGTAAATTGGGAAATATATGGAGATAAATAATCTACTAAGCACCGGTGACATACACGTCAATTCATTGATGGATAAAAAATTCAAATCTAGAGACTCACCATAAACTTATCCTCTAATGGATTGATGTGTCATATCATCGTCGCTTAGAATAAGCTAAACTGGATGCTTAGTAGATCATTTCTATATATATATTTGGTCGATAGGACTCTGTTATGAATAAAAAAATTAGGGAAGGTATGTAATTTCTGAAAAGGGATGAGGTGTCTTCGAAATAGCGAGTTACTTCATGGGGAGTTTCTATAATTTGCTCTTTATATTTGGAGTAGGCAGTCCATCCCCAATTGTATGACTTAGATGGATTTGTTTCGGAATACACAAAAATGAAGAATTAAGTTGTGATTTTTTTTGGTTTGAATTTTTTTTTTACAAGCACCCCCACCCAATTGTGTCAATCCACCTTGATGTATTGCTTTTACTGTTTTATAGTATATTTAACTTTGTGTTGACTAAATGATCGTTAGTTGTGATGAACTGGACCAGGTATTTCTGTTTTTTTCTACTTCTGGATGCTCCAGCCTCCCTACTGTTAAAGAAATTGCCTATTTATCCCAATAAAAGTACTTTAACATGAACTGCATGCATGTCCAGTAAGTCAAGAAGTATAATCTTAATGATAGGAAGTAAATGAACCCCAAAAGCATATGGTACAGAGCCACAGCTTGATTTTTATCAGATTTCTCATAGATTGATGTCTGTTCGCAAAATATGTTTTTTAGGAACTGATAGGCATGGGAGATGATAAAGCGCTGTATTTGTTCTTCCTTGTGAGTGAAGAGAAAAATGTGGGCATCTTTCAATTTTTCCAACCTTTTTCAGAGAATATGTTGAGATCCGAATGCAGGATAAAGTCATGAAGATATCTATCATTAGTACATGGGTCGAATTCACTACCTAACCTTTATCTGGATTGGAGCAAGTCCAGTCATGCAGAAATAAAGGGGAAACTTCCGTTTTAAATTTCATAAAGGCCATCAGATTTTGTTATATTACAGGTTGAGAATTGCTTGCAAGGTTTGCATTAATGAAGCCATCTAGGTTATAAGAACGAGACAGCAGTCTAAATCAATAGAAAAATGTAGAATGCTGTTGGTATACATGCTGTTAATATGCATGTTTATAGTGGCAAGTTGGTTGAGTTTACTCTCATTTTTGTGAATTGGATTTTTTTGATGTCACAGAGAGATTGGCAAGGGACTGATTGGAGAGAGGACGAGAAGAATGGAAAGACGGACTCAGCTTTCAGCTTGGGGAAGATAACCGAGCAGAAAGGCATCTTAGGTCCCGGTCCAGCAGAATTGCGCTTTCCAGAAGCTCTTTGACCTGTTTCTAATTTGGGTTTTGGATGAAATGTGGATTAAATAAGCAACAAGTTAGCATAGTTGTTGTCTGGTGTATTTCTTATCTGCTAATGCACTGTAGATACGTATTGGCACATTAAAGTAATATGAGTCAGTATTAGATTACACTAACTAAGATTTTGCTACTTTTCTTCTTTAATATTGATCAACGTTGTAAGAAGTCGTATGTAAGTATTTTATGTAGTGGAATTTTTGATTGTTAGTTTCTCAAAGCACTGAATTCTTCATGCTTGCTTAAGCGTAAAAAAGTCTAGCTCATGTCTTCTTCTTGTCGTAGTTAGTAATTATGAAAAAAGTTGGACAAAATATAAATATTGAAACCCATTAGCAGAAAATATATAAACATGCACCTAAAATGGAATGTGGGTTATATTAGAAAGTAAAAAATTTCTCCAAATAGCTTTATGCCTATATGATAAATGTGGGGACAATCGAATCTTTTGTGTCGAGTCCAATAATTAATATTACTTTGTTTAACATGTTCTTGAGTGAAATATGCTGAAGTGTTTGAATATCGAATTTTCACTAATCACATAATATTTCAAGAGACTCTATTTTTAAAGAGCATGTTATGTATAATAGAGAATATTTAAAATTTAGAAAGTAAATGAATAAAAAGTGAACTATTGAATCTAAATAAATAAATAAAAAGATACCTTACTCGACAAAGAAGCGCCCATGGCCTAATGGATAAGGCGTCTGACTTCTAATCAGGCGATTGTGGGTTCGAGTCCCACTGGGCGTGTATTCATTTCTTTTTGTATTACTATTTTGGATTCAAGTCGCACCAGCGTGTATAGATTTACTTTTTAACATCATTCTGATCCTGTTTTCTTACCTACAAATACAATTATATGCTAACTTTAAAAAAGAATCGAGATCATTTTCGTTCCCGTTGAAGTCAAGAAACAAGTTTTCAACGCGCACACTCGCATATAAATTGAGTTTATTTGTTTATCAAAAGTAGATGCATGCACATTTTTTGTCGACGTGACTTAATTTTACGATTATTTATTAATATATGGAAAATCTCTGACTGCTGAAGAAGAAAAAAATTCTATGAAAGTAAAAGATGTTACTGAACTTGATCTCCAACATAATTTGAATACAAAAAACACATTGCCTTCTCACATTTCTCTTTTTCTATTATTATTTTTTATATATATAGCATGTAACTTATTCCCATTGTTTGTCTTAATTGATTCATTAATTCAGAAAAGTTCTTTAACATAAATAAATAATTGAGTCCCACTTTGGCCCCTATATTTCTCAATACTACTTTTTTTTTAACCAAATTCATTTTCAACCATACATTTAATGAGCGCCACAAATTTTATCAACTTTTCCGTCACATATTTCATCAACTTTTATCGACATTCACTAAAATTTTTAATTTTTATCCAAACCATCACATCAAAATTATACAAAATGCCAGCCAAATGCCATATTTCAAGAATGTAAGTAGCAATGATTCATTATCAAATATCTAAATTAAAACGGCTATTGTTTTTGTTATGCAGTATTAAACGGATTGATTTTATTTTTCTAATATTATCTATACTGTATAATCACTCTACCAAGAGCGGATTGTACATGGATTTGGGGGTAAATTCAGGCCAGGAGATGGTGGATGAGGCATATCAGTGTGATGCAAACATTGAAAATACATTGGAACTACACCTTCACAAATCTCAATCTTCTCTTCATCAACGAACATTCCAATACATTCTCTCCCTTTCCCTTTGAAATCCCTCTTTTGACAGAAATAAACCCAGGTTTCATTAAACCCTACAAACTTAGATAATATATCCCGTTGGAGAACCAGTAGGTGGGTTTTCCCAGTATCAAGATCAAACAAAGAAACTGGAATTTCGCCTTTTTCTTGCAGTATAATACGATTTTTATGCCTGATTGATTTTAAAAAGTAACCGGTCATTTCTTGTGTGAAAATGAAATATTGGTGGACATATTCCTCGTCGAAAATGGGTTCGTTGAGCCATTTCTTGATCTTGAAGAAACTTGGTTTAGTACGGAAGAGAGGACTTTCATTTTGTGAAGAAGATGCCATTGAAGGGGAAGTTGTAAGCTTTTATGCATGCAAATTGTAGCAAAGAAAAGGTACTTTTATAGTCAGCATAAATATTGGTTAGCAAATGAAAATTGGAAGCATTAAGAGAATAAATACTTAATAATACATTTTTTTTAGTGCATATTTAATATGGACGATTTTTTTATTTTTATTTTTTCGTAATACACATGAGAACGCATGCATGTAGTACATTTAACACATTAGAATGTCTTGCTCGAGTCGACTCATAATGATTACAATATATCAAGTTTACCATTAGAAGCATAGAATTATTTTAATAAAACCTATTAAAGCAGATGGATTTAGGCATGGACTATTATCAATTTTAATAAAACCTATTAAAAGATGGATTTAATAGAACATGTTATGTGTTATTATTTTATAATAGTAACATATGTGTCACTTACGTTAATATTACTTATAAGATAACATACTTAGGAGTGTCAATTTGGCTCATCGATTCGGGACAGACCGTGACTTGGACAGAGCCCCATTTTGGAGCGATGGCCCAAGCCTGATGTGGCTCGTCAAGCCACGGGCCGACTCGTATCACAGGCTATTTTTGGCCCATGAGAAAATTTATAAAAAAAATAATATTAAAACTTTCTTGCACAGGCAGCAGCTACGTGTAAAATAAAAAATAAAAAATTAGGCTCGGCTCTATAAGGTCCAAGCCGAAAGTTCAGGTTGAGTCTAGATTTTTTGGCCGAGCAAAAGCTCAATTCGACTCAGACAAAAAATAAAAAGTCCAACCATTTTTATTCAAACCAAGCCCGAGTCTTGAGTTTTGGCTCGTGAATCGGCTCGTGACATCCCTAAACATAATCATTTAAATTCTTACATCATCCCGTCCTGCACTATTTCCGGCAAGTGTCACCCCACTACCATCACTTCCCATTGCCACATGTTGGTTGATCACCGAGGTTTAACTTAACAATCCCTACTCGGCCCGAATCAATAACCTACACAGGCAAATCGTAGTTCTCTTTCATGTAGTACAAGTTTTAACAAAACGTCCATTTTGACACCTTTAGCTAAAAGAACAAAGTGATAAAACCTTATATTTTGTAGATGAAAATAAAAATAACCTCTAACCTTAACGTTACTGTTAATCACATTTTATGGAGATTTACCTCAATGTGAGACTACGTCATCTCCCTCTGCCAGAAGCGGACGCAGATGTTAAAAGTTAGAGGGGCACAATCGAACTTGCAAAGAAGTTGGGAGAAATTTTACAAACGAAAATTTACGTCCAAAAAAATCATACCCCATGTGATTTTACATCCGAAAATTTACATAAGATATGACTTTTTCAGATGTAAATTTCGAAATTTTTTGATGTCATATTCCATATAAAATTTCCTAATAAAATGATGAAAATTACATTGAGAAATTTGTATCGCAAAAATAATAAATGTTAATGAAATAATTGATTTTTTTTTTTNTAAAATTAATTGTTAACTTTGATTTAAATTAAAATTTAAATTTCAATCGATACCAAACATGACTTTAAAAAAAAAAAAAAAAAATCTCAAAAGTTGGGGGGCACGTGCCCCCCAGGACCCCCCTTGGGTCCGCCCCTGCCCCATGTTGTAGTAATTCTCTACAATGAAAAAAATGTTTGCAAAAGAAAATCGCACTCTATCTTCTCCACCGTCTTTCTCTCTTTTTGATGATCATTATAAAACCTAAAGATTACTCGCTATTTATAAGATAAATTAGGGCAAAATTGAATTTTACAAGTAGTTACTAAACTTTAACAAAAATTAGGATCGACAATAATTAAGCTCCACAACTTAATATTTAACACTCGTGACACGTTAACTCTCAACATAAAAACACAGGTAGTACCTAAACTTTAACAAAATTGCATCCACCTCACTAAACTTTATTTTATTGTGTATTGCTCAATAAATTTAAATTTCTTTTTTGTTAATCATTGAATTTAAACTTGTCATTCTATTATGTCAATTAGTTTGATTACATAAAAAGATGATGTAAAGGTCATCTATACTCTCTGTCACCCTTTGTTTTTCTTTCTCCCCTTTCCGAATTTTCCTAGGCTTCTTTTACATTTTCTTCCTTTACACTTGCATTTTTTCGGGAAAAAATACTAAGCCCCTTAATTCGACAAGAATGGTGCGGTTCAAACATCTCATGGATCAAAACTTGACCATTGGGTAATTCAATTCAAATCTTATTGGAAATTCTATTTTCAATGAACTATTTAATCGATGGCATACATTTTTGTCTAGCTCTATCGAACAAAGACTGGATGTCACACTTTATAATTTGTCGGTGCCAAGTAATGGGGCCGTCCATCAGTTCTGAAAGTAATGAACAAGTCTAAATGGATAAAATGTCTCCAAAATCTCAATTATTTTTTCACTGAACCAGTTTACAAGAATGCTAATCAGATACCACTTATTCGATACGATGACAAGAGTTTAAGACAACAGGGTTTTACACTAAAAAATCTTGCAATCTATACAGCAAGTTACAAGCTATTTGAGCAATGAATGATAATATTAGAGCATGAAACTGATGCGGCCCGAAACTAAGCTACATTCGATCTCTATATACACTCTCAAGACCCATGTTAAATACGAGGGTTCATCCCCGATATTCATTCCTTCAATTATTTGCTAATGCCCCATACTAAAATCATTTTACCTACAAAATTTCTTCCTGACGATGTTGCTGTACCTGAGACCTGGCTCAAAACTAATGCTTCTACTCTGGCTGAAAATAGCTATCGTAAATAGAAAGTCGATCTAATGCATTAAAATTTGCTTTCAACCCAACAAACTCACTTCCAAATCTAGCACATTCAGCATCTGGCCATCTGCACCCTCCATCTCTGGTACGTAATGGGCATAATGATTCACAAACACGAGTAATCGGATTGATGGGATCATCGGCCAAGACAGTATCAAAGACGGACAGATCTGATTTATTGTCATGCTGAAAAAATTCACCACTTTCCTTGTCTGAATCCGGATAAAAAGATTTCTGAGGAATCCCTGTTCCATTGTTTTCAACTGCAACGCATTCACCATCTTCTGAAAAGTGTACCTTACAGCCCAGTGATTGCATAGCTCGCTTCATAGCTGCAATTTCATTTCTGGCTCGCTTTGCCAAATTCCAGGCCGAGCTGCTGGAAAGCCTCTCATTTCGTAACTCCACAGCCAAGGACTCAATGGTAGACGTCGTTTCTTTAACATTAGCCTCTGCTACTTCTTTTGCCTGTCAACATTTGTCACCAGCTGATTAATCTTCATGGAACAACATAAATAAGAATGAACTGGCTATATTTTTCCTAAAATCAAGGACAAGTCACAAGAGCTAATTGTTATTTTGTGATTACCCAAATTCAGACATATTACTGGCAGCAAACAAAATAAAATACGAAGAGACGAATATCATGACCATACACTTTTAAAGATGACGACTTTCGTGGGTCTTATTTTGATTCCCAAGGCGGAAGTTGGACCAAAAATTAGCAACGTTAAAATCCCTGCACTAATCTTACGTCCAGACTTAAATATGCCCGTAGCTTACTAACATCCACAATTTTAAATAAAATAAACCATTAAGCAACGAAAATGTCATTTTGGTTACCTTGGTTATTCTCTTTAACTGGATATTTAAGACATTCCTCTCATCTCTCAACATACTCACGAGAACCAAGGGCCCAGAAAAATAACAAACAGCACACACTAGAAACATGCACTTCAGATTATAAACAGATAAACTACCTTTTGCAACTCGGACATCTTTTTAGCCATGTTCCGACAGATTGCTTCAACCTCTCCTGCTTGAGCTTCTGATGGACAAGTCCATCGAAGGTGGAACTGAGGCCAAATAGTTGGCGCCAAAGCTGCAGCTGGAGGTAGCAGTGGACCTTCATGTTTAGATTGATCATAAAACAGATTGTAGTGCACATGAGAGCTTCCCTCTGAAGCCCGTAAATCAGCCAAATACGTCCACAAGCACCCACATGAATCAGAAATGCCAGCCTGCTGCCTTTCTTTCTCACTGAGATTTATAGGGCCAAAAAGACAAGTTACTCGGATGGTCAAGCAAAATATATTAATGAAGTTTATTCACTACCATGTCTTACATATCACTTCCCAACCCAAAGAGGTCAGATATGGAGCCAGAAATTTAGGCTCAACAATCAACACCGGTGTTGCCATGCACAGTTGGTTTCGCTTCATAGAGAATGAGATTCACCGAAATTGCCATAAAATTATGCTTTCTTGAGCACAAATTGAAAGAACAGGTTCAGGTAATTGACTGCTTAATGTTGAGACATTGTGGTTCAAATAAATTATTCAATGATTTATTCTTACACAAGACTTCACCCTTCGAGATAAGTGCAAGAGATCAAAAGTCTCTCCGATAGTCCAAAGCTATCTTTTAAACAGGCTAGAAAGAGAAATCAAATCTCACTATGAGAATTGCAAGAAAATTGTAATTTTGAAAAGGCACTTTTCGAGCTGCTTGGTACATCATAGCTCAATGTGTGGCCTGCTATGCACCTAAATTATATTTTAATGTTTGATTAAATTGGAATCTTGTTTTTGCACATTTCCATAGTCAAAGAAACACGCATCCTTCATCCTTTGCCTTGACCAACATGTGTTTAGCTAAAATAAACTGATATCAAACTTAATTCATGATTTGAGAATAAAGAAGGAATAAAGTTAAATAGTTGAGAAGCTAGGTTTAGGTGGAGAAATTTCATGGCAGAGAAAGACTGTACCTGTTGCACAGGAAGTTCCCGAAACGACAGGAAAGTACACAATCCAGTAAGTCTACCAGAAAAGCCTGCAGTGACAAAAATGAATTAGGGAAGTATGTTTAAATTGAATATTGAAGAATTTGACATTCTTCAGATGTATCAAACGAAGGTACATACCGTCGAGAATTCAAAAGCAAAAGGATACATCCGTAACAGTTGTGAAACACAATCAATCCACTGCAAAACAATTCTGAATGTTAAACAAATTGAATCTATGACCAGAAAGATCAAATAAATTAATAGACAACAAAAAGTTAAGCATTACTCCTAATAAATTTGGGATCAATAACATGATTTGTTTTCACTTTATTCAGTCCAGCATTACATCTACTGAACATCCAATGCAATCAAATCATATGCAACCACATCATAACATTTGTTCTGTTCAACTGGTATCGCATTATTATAGTGAATAGGAACTTCATATCTACACAAGACATGTCCAAACTGCCTAATTTGTCCTTCCCTTAATTTATCTACAAATTATGCCACCTCTACTAGTTAGTGTATATTCTCATTTATTATGTTAACTATTTTAGTATGGCTACATTCTCGTTATGTCTATAATCAAATTTTATATATCTACCTTCGATTTTTTGATAAGATGACCAAAAATCAAGCAAAGCTACAGGAGGCTCGAGGCTAAAACAGACTTGAATAATGCTCAAGGTCAAGGTCAAGGTCAAGGTCAAGGTCATGGTCATGGTCATGGTCATGGTCAAGTTACATATTCATTTTTTTTAAAGCCGAGTTCAAGTCAAAAAAATTATAGCTCAAGACTCAATTGGACTTAAGCTCTTGCTGATTTTATTAGAGCTCACAATTTTTTAAAAAGCTAAGCTCTGCTCTGCTCATTTGCATCTCTGTTCCCACGGTTAAATAGCTTGGTAGCTGCTGAAATTTATTCTAGAATGACCTCATGCTACCTGTTATGACTTCTGAGGATTATTTTAAAATTCAAGAATGACTTGACAGATAGATTTACAACTCTCCAACTTTATTATGCCATGACAGCAATGTTTCACAACATTTCATAAGTCAGAAACCATATAACTACCGGCATATATATGAGCCTCCTTGGATACTGGTTAAACAGGTGGACAATCCTTGTTGAGGAAAAGATCAAGTAAATCTTGTACTACTAACAGAAGTAAAGTTTCCTAGTGAAAATACCTGCAAAAAGATGGGAGAATAATTGTTTTGTGCATGTGAAGAAGAAGGCGCTTGAGATGGGAATGAGCCCGATGCTTGACGAATAGGTGATGTAGATAAACTTCCTGTAGAAGACTGCCGCGATAATTCAAATGGCATGCTGCCACTTCCAGATGCAATTGGCATTCCTGCACGATCTGAAAATGGATGACCAAATGCAAGCCAATCTTTTTCTATGAGTGCCTGAAAAAAAAGAAAAAAAGGATCTAATCCAGTTATTGGAGTTAAAAGCTGATGAGAACATTTGCATAAAAGAAGGGAAAGTCCAGAATTCTAAAATAGGTTGATTGAAGACAAGTTGTAGACTGTAAACTTATATTTTTATTATTTGATGAGTTCCTCCTAATTTCTTATTTAGGATTTATTGCGATCAACTCTATGTTTTTTCATAGCCAATCCCGAACTTGGATAAAGGAAGAGGGTTGTGGTGGGTTGACAAAAGTAAAAATTTTGTTCAATCTTAGTTTACTGTTGATTTATTGCGTTCAAAGTATAAGCTAATTTAGTGTTTAAATAAGTGTTGGACATGGATAAATATCCATAGTCCATGGATCTTATTTTAACCTTAAACTATATTGCATACTAAATATGAAGAGTCTGAAATTAATATTTAGAGGTCAAAGATTCCACCTTCTCAATTTCCCATGTATAATCCAAGTCATAGTACTAGAAGAAGAAGCCTTTATGGTATATAATTCTTTGTTTCAATCGACTGGATCAATATGAAGAAATGTTGTTCTGTAATGCATTATTTAGTTCTTCTCTTGTCTTCTCCTTCTCCTTCTTTCTTCTCATCAATTTTTCCCGTTTCTACAATTTCAGCACTCCAATTATTTCTTCTATCATATGATAGTACCTTATAAAGCCCACACCTTCCCTAGTACATAAACAATCAAAACAGTCCAATTCTTAACGTTTATTAATGTGCGGTACTATCTCAGTGCCTATAGCAGCCTCAAAATTTCATAAAATCTTTTCAAGTAGGTTGTAGAATTTACCGTTCCTTTATCCATTACCAACTCATTTTTATATTGTTCACATCTAACCACTGCAGAACTGATCATAGGAGGCTTGATGAGAGATTCGACAAAGTTATCCTACATCAATATCTCTGTTTTTCTCCGCTTTTGGGTACTAACATCTCTTACAGAATGAAACTCACTCCAGCCTCTCAACATAACTATGATCATCACATGACAAGTACAGCCAAATTCACTCATGTAGTATTAAGACACATAGGTGTCTATACCAACATGATAATCTAAACTTTAGGCACGTGCAAAGATTATGACAGTGTATTAAATCTTAATCTAGAAGCTATTCACACTAACAAGCTAATGCCAACAATTCTAAAATTCAATGCACAGAGTCAATGAAGAAAAAGTCATCAATTACGAACTCAGTGTGTACGCAAGTATTTGTATATTTTTTGTTCATAGGAATAGCAATTTCTATATAAAAAAAAAATGTAATGTAACATAAATCGAGAAATGAAAAAGATCAAATAGTATCAAGAAAGTACCTGAAAACCTTTGATTGTCCGGTAATACGGATCAAGCAACAAACTCGCAAGCGAGACCAACTGAGTTGTTCTATCCCATCCATCACTGACAAAAAAATGTGAAATTTGAGTAAAACATCATAGCTCAAGTTAGTAGTTTGTCCTAATATAAATAATGTGATGGTTAGAGCCCACTGAGTGAAGCAAACAATTTTTAAAATAGAGAAGGTTGTAATTTCTCACAATATAGAAAATGCATGCTGGTATGAAGCAGCAATAGTTCAAATTCTTTGTAAAGAATATATTTATGAACTGTTTATACTATTGCTTGTCAGAGTGGGCTGATAGCAGTTTAACATGGACGAGAATGGGACAGAAAATAATGGGTGACATTTGCAGAAAAAGTAAATTATATGAACACTAGACGATTATATTTTCAGAAGCAAACAATATTTAAAATAGAGGTGGTCCTAATTTCTCACAATACAGTAAAGCATCAATTATTCAATACAGTGAAAAGCATTTCAAACAAGAGCAAATGACATAAGACATTTAAATAAATTGAAGAAACATTAACTTCAATTCAGAAAAAGCTATAGAAATTAACACGTGAAATATCTCTACATTTCAAGGCCCAAACTTTTTTTTTTTGATAAGTAATCAGAAAATTTATTAATAAATCAATAGATAATACATGGGAGATGTATTATCAGTTTAAACAATACAGAAACGACATGAAATTAAGCAACCGTTCAATATGGTTATTACCCACAGTATTAAACCAACTATACAAAGTCAAATAGAACAATTCTCTGAACTGCTCTATAGTTCTTGTTTGGTCTTCAAAACAACGGTTGTTCCTTTCTCTCCATACGCACCATACTATGCATCCCGAAATAAGATCTCATACAATCCTGCTATCCTTATCACGAAATTTCCTCCTCCATGCCCGCACCACATCCTCAATTCGCCTAGGCATCACCCAATCCAAATGTTGGGAAACAAGAATGCTATTCCAAAGCCACCAAACACCATCACAATGAATGAACAGGTGATCAATCGTCTCCCCATCCTTCTTACACATATAACACCACTCGGTAACATAAAAACCCCGTCTTCGAAGATTATCCACCGTTAACGCTTGCCCCCTCACAACCGTCCACAATAAAAAAGCCACCCGTGGAGGCAATTTACATTGCCACACCATCTTCCATGGGAATGAGTTCTGCGCAGGTTCTACTAAAGATCTGAAATAAGAACAAACTGAGAATATACCATTCTGTGTCAACATCCACCTGCTACAATCACCTACTTCAACCTGAATGTGCGCCTCATGCAAAGAGGTCAGAAACAACGCATAATCATCTAATTCTCAATCCTGTAAACCCCTCTCAAAAGCAGGATTCCAACTGTAACTTCCATTGTGAATGGTGAGTATATCATTCACCATAGCAAACGGCCCCAAACAATGATATACATTAAAATTACAGAGAATTGCACATATATACAATTCCTCAAATATTTAAGTATTCCATGGCCCGATGCTTTGCTGGAATATGTAGTCACTAAGAAGGCAAGCATCAAACCAATATACCCTTTCAATTTTTACATACCTCCATATAAACAATCACCAACTTCCTTAAGCGGAGACATTGAACAAATAACAAGTTTGCTTTACATGACTTAATGTGTGTGGCGAAAAATATCATATTGTTGGAGACAAATGTAGCTGTTGATCATTTCATGATTCAAAAGTTGTGTAGTTTTATGAAATTTCCTAACTAAAAATGCAGCTACATTTGTACGAGGAATTTCACCAATAGATCCAAAGGTTGAATCAGCAAATTCAACCTTCATGAGGTTTACATCCTGGCCAGGTTAGATAACTACATTTTTTTTCCTACAATGAGATATCAAATAATAGCAAATACAATGTATATTCCTGTAAAAAAAGGGAGCCTTTTTTCTGTCAATTAGTGATGTTCAACAGCAGTACTGTGAACTCATTATCCACGACTAAAGGTTATGTTCAGAGTTTTTAATGCAATTCACATAACATAATGATAATAGAAATTAGGCACATGGGATGATTATCAAATGAGGCAAGATTGCTGCAGTCAGGCGCTGCTTAACATCATCGAGAAGAGGAGATCGGAAGATTCGGTGGAGAATAAACTCAAAAGGGAACCGACATTGGGATCATAGAGTGTGGAAGCAAGCCAAAACCAAAACCACACAGTTTACAGTTAGCCCCTTCGGATGAAACATCCATCAAAACCAACACAATCACTTGTTAAAACTTGTCAAAACGATTTTTGCATAATAGCTTCAGTTCAGGTGCAGGGATTATTCTATTTCTGATGTTACCCATATTGGCACCTTTGTAACTAGAATTTGCATATAAACATGTCAAATTCAATAACATTTTAATATTATAGGCCTGGATGGATTTAAATAGTTTTGAGCCTGTTTGAGCCCCCAATTTTTGCCCAAAATGCATTTTGGAATAGTATTTTGACGAAGAATGTATGGTTAAAAAAGAAGGAAAAGTTTTGAGTTTGTGTGTAATATTATTTTATAGAAAAACGTATGATTGAAAATAAGAGAGGGAAAAATGTATTTTGGAAATAATGGGGACCAAACAAGGGATAAGTCATCATGACTAGAATCCTGAATCCAGGATGCAAGAGTTTCTTGAATCTTTCTTAATCCTTTGAAGGAGTAAAGAGCTGAAGTTGGAGGTCATTATGATTTACCATCAGGTAATGGTCATAGAAGTAACAGAATTCAGATGCCACAGGCAACTTATGCAAAGACTCTTACCTGATCTACTACATTTAACTGAAAATAGCTGTTGCAGACTACAGCCAAAGTTTGCCTCAGAAAAAGTGCATTCTAATGGAAGTTTCCTAACGAACAATTTCAACGAATCTTTCAACATCTTATTTTAATATGTTCAACTCTATGTTCCTCTATCGGAAGAGTACATTGAATTTACAAGAACAGCTATAACAGAGTTTCTCTTTTTCTTATCAATAGCTAATTTTGGAGGAATATTTTTATGTGGTGCTAATGATTTAATAACTATCATTAGCTTCAGAATGTTTCCAAAAGTAATCCTATTTTCATGGAGGGAGTAAGAACGCAAATCAGGCTATAAATACACAAGGGGAACAAGAAGCCAATGCTTCCCATGTCAAAAAAGTTTAACAGAGCACAAACACAAAGGAAAAAATCGAAGACAAATAACCTCATCATAAACATAACACCTCAAATAAATGAAACTCCACACAACAAAAAACACATTCACCATCGTAACCAGGAAAAGTAGAAATGATACAAGCACCAGAGTTTTAATTATAATAAAAAGTAGACTAATCAAAGTCTGGAAACTCTACATAAGCAAGAATTTCAAATTATAAATAGGAGTCCCTCCATTTAATTTAATTAAAATGAAGCAATCCATGACTCCATCCATTTATCACATTAATTAACAAACAATGCTTAAGCTATCCTAACCTGCAATGTACTAACACTGTTGCTGATTCCAGCGCAACACGAGCAGCAATCCAAGAAGAACCAGCCAGAACACTCTGAACATGTATCAACCAACCACTGTCCCCAAGAGTTGACACTGACGCAGACATACTGCTGAGGTTACCACCTCCCCAAGTCCATCCACCATGCCTCTGTCAATAAAAGGCAAATGTAACCAGATAAGCACAGAGTTATACACCAAAGTTCAGCAGAAGGGCCTAAGATAATTTTCAACTCCATACTGCTTTAGCCAGTCAAGTGTAAAGAATGAATGGTTCACGTGGGTTAAGAAACCTATCAAATTAACAATAAGAGTCCGTTTGATTGCAAGAATTGAATTGAGTGAAAAGAAAATGAATTTTAGGGAATTGAATTGCCTAGAACTTGTTTTACTGGAAATTGTCAATTAATTATGTTTGATTGGTACAAGTTTCCACCAGGAAAAAAATTGAAATTTTGGATCTTTTGGTATTCGCTTGGCTTTGTTTTCCATGGAAATTGTCCATTAAACGGATAAAATTTATTACAATTGGGGATAGATTTTGTTTCCATTGCAAAATTAAAAAAAATTAAAAAAAAAAAAAAGGTTGCCTAACAAAACTTTTCCCACCAAACCCATGGGAAATGCTTTTCCTCAAAAACCAAGAAAATGTAGAAAACTAATTCCATGGAAAATTTAGTCAATCAAACATGCAAAAAGGTGGAAATGGAATTTAATTTCCATCTTCCATGGAAAAGAAAGCCAAATCAAACAGGGCCTAAATGAATGGATGGTGGATTAGTTGTCACATAATCTGAAGGTAAACAAAAACAATAAGGAAAAGAAACGGCATTGCTGCCTTCGGCAGCCCTGCAACAGATAATCAAGCACATAAACTTTCTACTGGTTGACCCATTCTGCAGATCCAATGAGTTTTCTTCGCAAATATAGCAGAGTACATTCTAGGCTGTTTAGTGATTTCCCTTTAAAAGTTACAACCGAGGACACGTTTTACATATATATCGGTTAAGAGTATAATTCCATACGTTTGTCACAAACGTAACAGATTTCATAAAATATAGCACATTTGTATGCTAAGGGTTTCAGAAATTCATGAAAGCAAACATTATTCATGCAACTGGTGATCAAATCAATCAATAAATCTAAGCACTCTTTGGTCGAGATTAGTTGATTGATAAAAAAATTAATTGAATCATTTTACAGTTCAGGATATTTGGTTCGTGTAACAAAAATTATTATTTATCAAGTTACTAGTCACAAAGTTTAAAATAATTTATTTCTATTAACCAACTCACAAAATCGATTTTTCAGATAATAATTATCAGATCAAGTAATCCACATTGGCTTTAATTAATCATCGAGCATACACCAATTAATGATAGTTACTACGACTTGAGCTTTAGATAATTTCAAGACTAACTGATTTTTGAGCAAAGATTTTACATGACGCATATTCTTAGTTGGAAGGAAACTAGTGTACTCATGTTTTAGTGGCAGTATTTAAAATGAAAACGCTCATGAAGAGAAAAGATCAGCTGGGCAGTCCTTGGCATTATAGTGAATTGGCAAGGTAAAAAGATGAACTTCAGTATAATAGTGCTTTCATACCAGAATATATTGCCTACTATGCTCTACCCATATATATTGATGCAAGGATAAAAGTGTAGGAAGAACCAAATCCTAATTCTACAAACCATAGTTTCTTACTAGACTACGAAAAAGTAAGTTCACAACTGACCAAAGAGTTACTATCCAACCATGACCAATAGGAAATTTTTAGTCACCAAGTGTGAAGTGCAGACCCGGCCTCATGCACAAAATAAAATAAAAAATTTCACTATTTGTTAATCCAAGCTGAGGTTGCTCTTCCACACAAAAAGTACAAGATCTTTAAAAACAACTGTAACGACCGACCTCGAGCCGGAGCCGTTATCATATCACACGTACTGTCCGCTTTGGAAGAGTTTAGACCCATCTTACCCCTCATGACTTTCTGACGCGTCCCCTAAGATTCTAACTCAAGACTTCCATCATATGGGAGACTTAAGTTGAATCCTGGTACCAATTGGGACAGTACGTATGATATGATAACGGCTTCGGCGATGTCGGGTCGTCACAAAAAAAATGCTTTTTTTTTTTGTAACGACCCAATCACATCATACGTACTGTCCGCTTTGGGAGAGTTTAGGCCCATCTTACCTCTCACAGTTTTGTAATGCGACCCCCAGAATTCGAACCCAGGACCTCCATCATATGGAAGACTTAAGTCGAATCCTGGTACCAATTGGACAACTTTACAACAACTAAGAAACATACCAAAAATGATGACATTCCATCTGAAGAAGTGGCCCCATGAGTATCCACATAGTCTCTAAGCCGAGAAAGGCTCTCTCTCATGGCATGTATGTTGTCTATTCCAAAGAAGACTATCTGAAAAAGAGTTCAAATGAAAGAATATGAATTTACAAATCAGAAGTGGTGTGATATTGGAATGCACAATTTGATTGCTCAAACCTTGAACAGACCTCAGATTGAAAATAATTGGCAGATGACTCTGAACCACCTCCCATTGCTCCATTTGCTAAAGCGTTTTTCCTAGGTCTTGCATCAGCGATATACAACTTCCTAAATTCATACAATCATTCAATAATGTGAAATCCCGAAAATAGATAATGGCCATGTGTTTAAACATGTCTCTGGTACTGAAATAGATTTTGTTCTGTATGATTATTTCTTGCTAAAGAGAAAAACCGAAGATTTAAGCATCAACAAATATTAACTTAAAACTCAAAATAAAATACCAAAAAAATCACCTCTTTTGGTCCGTCGTTCCAATAAGTTGAGTAAAGAGTGCAGCAACTAGCTTCTCATCAGCATTGCTGCAGATAAACGACATGGATACAGAATATTTTGTCAAAGAAAAATGTAAAATTACTGGCTTCCTTCAAAACTTTTGTCAGCCAACAATTTTTTATGATCAAGGTCATAATTCCAACTTTCTAATTACCATAACAATGCAGCAGATAATTGAAAGCTGCAACAGCAACATGGGCCCTGTAAATCAAATCTCACCTTCTCATATTCATCATGAGGCCAACCAATGGTTGAGATGACCGTGCTAGAACAGCTCTTGTCCCTATAGCTCATTGATCAGACAGATATGAAATGGGATTCAGATGAACAGGTTCATTTGATATTGTCAATTGACTTGCGGAATCTTAAGATTAAAAAGATTTTTTATAAATTATTTGATAATTACTAGTAATAGTCGCAATATTTTATTACCATCTGAAATTTTGACTATACCTGGATGACACCATGTAATTACAGGCAAACGACATCGTGCACGGAAAGTACAAGCTTGCTGTATTTCTACATCACTGACACCAGTGTCCATGTGAAATGAAGATGCACATAAAATTAGAATTATTTCCTGCAGTGACTTCAAGAGGAAAACAAAAGCAAGCAATATTAGATTACCTGATGGATTTTGGAACAAGCAATGCAAAAGGATAGGTTGGGCACATTGTATAATTAGAATTCACATTGCTTATCCTCCAACATTCATTAGACACCACGTAAGAACCATCTTCAATTGTTCTGGCTGACGCCTGAGGTGACCCTAGTCCAAGAAGTCGGAAGTATTCATTCAGTAGCCGCACCTTGGGGTTTGTGTTACCGAATTTGGAAGGTCCACATGCAAAAGCATAGAGATCCCAGAGTCTAGCTGGTCTCGTGCACCTCAACAATGCATCGTATACAGCACGCCTCTGCAATACAATTTTGCCATAAAAGTTATACCTTGTAAAATAGATGGTTGCTACATTTATTTAAGCATCAGCAAGAGAAATTTAAAAGGAATTCAATTTGTTTTAGGTCAACTAACATTGTTCAATTTGCCACTTGGTATTTTATATAACACTGGATTTTAGTTTTAAGTCTGGAAAGATTCTTCAATCAAGGGTGACATTTAGTTGCACAGAACCCAACAATGTTGTACCCTCATCATATCTCCTAATCTAAAAGTTCAACCATGCAATTGCATATGAACTACATACATTTCAGTCAAGGAACATAACATGGTGAGCATTACTCTAATTTTGAACCTAAAAAATTCCAAGATAAATACCATATGTTGAACATACAAGTATAAACATATTAATCACCTCCCTATCAGCTTACACTTTTACATGAGGTGATTATTCACCATGATATCAAATGCACAAATGTCTTGGGTTCAAATTTCACAATTATGGGTGTATGTACAATTACAAGCTCAATGGTCAGACTACACGTGGAGGACGTGTTGAGATATAACTATAAATGAATAAATTCATTCTTTCTAACAACATAAACATTTAGATGAGGTGATTCAACGGTTGTGATACATAAAAAACTTGATATCAAAATGCATAAATTTCTTGGGTTCAAATTTCACAATTATGGGTGCCTGTACAATTACAGGCTCAATGGTCAGCGTGTTGAGATATAAGTATAAATGAATAAATTCATCTCTTTTTAACAACATGAACATTTAGATGAGCTGATTCAACAGTTGTGATGCATACAGTACTTGCAGAAATTCACTCTGCACAGGAATGGACCAAATAGAAGAAAAAGAATATGAACATAAGTTGATTTTGATCCATCAAAATAGCAAATTGTAATAATTCTAGTGTATAGTGAAATGGTTCACATTCTCAGCTTTCTGAATTTAAATGAAAAATCATGATAGGAGAGACTGAGGGGTCTCAAGGATATATGGATCGGTGTTCTCCCAAATAGCTTTAAAGAATATTATTCCTACTAGTCTTAACTGGGACAAGAAAAATACAGACGTATATGGAATACATCACCACCAGGAGCAATTTCCAAAAAAATAAACAAATGAATATTAGTATGCATAACTGACCTGCTTTGTTCGAGACTGAAAGCCAAAGACAATAATTCTCATATCTTTGCCTGCAGATCATAATGCCAACCAGTAAATTTATTTACAGCACAATGGTAGTTAATATATTGCAAATAATATGTGCGCAATATCTGAAGCTACTTGAAGTAATATTTTATATCTATTTACTGATCTGGATGTTGAAGCTATATTCATAACCACATAAACACAACCGATTCCTTACATATCCAAATTTGCATTCTGTAAGGACAATTTTCTCATACTAGTATTTCAATAATTATTGCCATTGTGCATCGAACTTATGGATATTAACCATCCGTGCTTCATTATACCTACTGTTTATTAGGCAACACAAGTTACATTAAATAAGAGAAACTGAAACAAACTTATTGTTCTCAATGCCAGGATGAATATAAGAAAACCAGAAGCACCGCCAGACAGTTTTAACCACTGCATGCCTCCAGGATCCATCACTGTCAGAACACTTCCCAATACAAAGATCGATTACCAAAAGAGCGCACCCCCCCCCCCCCCCCCCCCAACAAAGATCGATTACCAAAAGAGCGCCCCCCCCCCCCCCCGGGCCCCGGGACCGATAATTATTACAGTTATTTTCGTCTCAAAGTACATTCGGTTACTCACAATAAATGGGTATTAAACTTCTCAAACAATTAATAAATTAAGTAATTTTTCCAGAGGGATATTAAACCAAGCATACCAATGACCTGAAGCAATCGCTGTGATGGAGTCTTATCAATCTGCCTAGGACCTGAAGGAAGCTTCATAACCTAGATCCAGAATTATAATCAGAATTCAGAAATGTTAACTTCTTGTCAGCAGAAGATATAATCATGCAGCTCATGGAATTTGATTAAAAGACAGAAACTGGGGGGAGGGGAAGCAATACAGACCAGGCTATGAACAGTACAACAACGAAAGTGAAGCAACCAGAATGCCTTTTCCTAGAGAATTTGGCAACCTTCTTTTCTATTATTTGGATGAGGATCATGAAATAGCTTAGAATATGGGAATAAGGCTTCAAAAACAAAACATTAAGTGGTCTCTTGTTGTAAGATGGTGAAGGCCAAGTGGGGCTTGGGAGAAATTTAATCCCGATGGATGTGCAAATAGTGAGGGAGTGAAATGGAGTTTGTCTCATCCCTTTCTGTGGATCCTATGGCACTTGCACAAATTTTGAGGCAAAACTGCAAGCTATCTGAGATGGATAAACTCTTTGTCAACAGCAGTTGGCCTTTAATCAGCTATAGGATAGAAATATTTTCCCCCAGCAATCCATTTAACCTTAAGGTCTTAGGTGTTAGTGACAGCTTTACCGGTATAAAAGGCTAAATTTAACCAACAGAAGAGTGCAATGTTATGTAAAATCCCCATCCCTCTAGTCCGAAAACCAATGAAATATCTCTAAAGAAAGGACGTGAACTGGATCTCCGGACACTGCACAAGCCACCTAGCACACCATCACTACCTCAACAGGAACTTGATCCAAACAAATCTACAACAACGTATATTTTCCTAACATTACATTTTTACAACTAGAGCAATACATGTTAATCCTTATCTTAAGCCTTCAGTTGAGCCAATTCTTTGATATAAACCACAAGATCGTGAAACAATGTTTTCAATGTGAATAAATATACACTCACCTAATTTTTTTAGTTTAACTACAACCCCGAAAAGGACGATCATCCAAATGAAAAAATAAAATAAAATCAGGAACTTGCTTATCCCTAATGTTTCGAGATCATTAATTTTAAAAAACCACACAAATAGCATGAATGTACTCTTACCATTTATGATTGTTGCCTAGTTGTATTAAGAATATAAACCATAGGAATTGCGGATGGGCTGGAGGAGATTCCAAAATGTGACTAGTACTTTGTGCTTAAAATACACCACTTTATTGAGGCTGGATTATTAATGCAGAAAGAAATTTAAATTCTCAGATCTGTTAGGGTTCAAGAACAACAGACCTCAATTGGCTTGTATGGTTCAGGACAGACACTAACAGAGAGAGAAAGAGAAGCTACATATGACGAAAAATTTTTATAACTTAAAATCAATGGGAAAAGTCAAAAATTCAAAAGGTTCATGATTTTTTTATATCATTGAAAAAATCTCAAACCAGTAATAAACAAGAAAAATTTAGAGTTCAAAGTGCAACATATTCATTAACAGGTGTAAAGATGTGATAAAAAAATATATAACTGATTTATAAGTAGCATAGATACTGGTGTAAGATGGCTTTCTTAAATCCGTGAAGCAATGAAAACATATAAAGAGGTAATCAGCATTGTGTTTAATTAACAACTGCAGTTTATTCTCTCTTTTTATCCCATTCCAAGAAAAGGTGTATGTGAGAATTTTAGTCTCAAAACTCGTCCTTCCATGCCAAAATAAACTGCCTAAAACAGTCATACATTGTTAATAGCCCCCAGTTTCAGTTTCCAGCTATAAATAGTTCTTTGCACCCCCAACTAGGGAGGAAAGGGGGTTATCCTCTAGCTTCTGCAACTTTTAGAAATCTCACATTAAAAACGCCCATTAAGTAAACAGAAGAGAAATGAAAACTTACAATTTTGTTGAACTTTTCGATTGTTGCCAACGGAATAGTGCCAAGTCCTATGATGTTCCTAGATCCATCACTCTAGAAAAGGAAAGGTAAACAACATTAAAAAACAACTTGAGAGTAAAATTTATATAACGGATAAAAACATAAAGGTTATGTTTATTTTGCTGTAAATACAGGACAACAAGTATTTAGAGGGAAAGAAAACTAATTCAATTTCTATTTGGATTATACCTCAAATTCATAAAAACCTAAGAGAAGGTTTTACATCATCACTTGAAATTTGAGCAAACCAAAACATAGTGTTACTTAAAAATAGTTGATTCCCTTTACTTCATTTAACATTGAAACAAATGGAACCAATATTATTATAAATTGTAGAATCAGATTTAAAATCCCTCAGAGCATGGATAAATAATCTTCAAAGCCAAGTGATTTTGACTTGTGACAACACAATCATGCAAATAAAGATTCAAGTACGTCAATTAATTTGCATATATGAATAAGCAAATGCACGTTATTGTGACATAAATCAATCAGGAAAAAAAAAGGTTACAGCTTACCAAACCATTCATGTCTGATCATCTAAAGAGGAAAAGAAAATCCAATCAGCAAAATGCCATGCAGATTTTGTGCACAATAGATAGTTAGCAAGCACAAGTCACGCGCACAGGATTTGAGATAATTAATATTATAAAAATTACCTAGCTAGTTTTTTTTTTTTTTTTTACCTTCATCTCTTGAAATTTAAATATTTATAATAATATAAAAGAAACAGATAAGAACCTTAATAAAGGAAGCTGCCAGAAATTAGATGCGCTAACTCACCAGGAAAAGAAGACGAAAGTTCGTAACAAACAATGTTCCTGCCTTATCAGTGTTCACAAGTACAACGACATATCCCTGAAGGTAAAATTTTAACCAGAGTTAGACTTAAAACATTTTAGCATTTCAGACACAAAAGGGAAGAATAGAAAAACAGTCAAGTATTAAATCATAAAAATACAGTCAGAAAAATGAGAGAAGTAAAAAATTTCACCACCAATGCAGCAAGCCATGAGAAGATCAAAAAAAAATATCTTAATGGGTAAAAAAAATTAGAACAACAAGGAGATGTGGTCAAACCAAAAATTTCTTTATTCAGGTGGGAGAATTTTACCATGTCATACCAAGTCATGAACGAGACTAGAACAAAATCATTGTAGCATATGCAAAGATCAGAAAATTTGTCTCCATAATAGTTCCATTCTGTTCTTTCCTAGAGCACCATAGGTCATTTTTAATTGAGACATGAATAGAGGATCCATTACAAATAAAGAAAGGTTGTGAAACCTAATGGAAGTAAACAACCAGTTTGATTCATAGTCCAGATTTAGTACACAGATGGATTCACGATTTGAGATATACCAGTATTTTCAGAGGCATTGTTTAGGTGACCTCAGACCATGGAAAGAACAGTCATGGTACATATGAGGAAGGTATTTTTCAATTAAGCTGAGTGCCTTGAAATTTGGGGCAGAGCCACATCCCATGATTCTTCGGTCAAACACCCCAAGAAACTTCAGGTTTTTCATTTCTTTTCCTTTTTGTGTTTTTTGGAACGGATATATAGAGATTCTTGGCTATTCACGGCTTCACGCAACACGGCCAACTTGAAAATTTTCTCATCGACTTTTGACATTCATGTAAAGGCTTTGAGAACCATATCCATCTGTATGTTCAAATGTTGAGCTTTATCTTAGTTTTACCAAAATCGCCAAATACCTTCACCACCTTTCATAAACCAAACAATTGTCAATCTACTCGATGTGTGTATACTATGTTGGTACTCATACCGTTTTTATTTAGAAAAATAAATCTTGGTACTTAAGCGCTTGTCTAACAATCTAAAATGGCTTAAGTTAACAAAATTAATTTTCTATTTACATAATAAATAAAATAGTTAATTTTCATTATGAGTTCATGGGGCTTATCCCTTACAATGAAGAGGCAAACACCTTGCCCAGAACATTCTCATCATTACTTCGAAACTTCAAAGCCTAAGAATATTACTCAACAAGTCCCATTTTCCTTCATATTAGCATTGTCGGATACTGTTCATCAGCACCCAAAGAAAGCCTAAAACTCATCGAATTTGCTTCTTCTCATCAGAGACAGCCTAAACCATCGCCAAACTCATTCACAAAGTAATCCACACTAAACCCAAACAATAAACCCACCATAGGATTAACATGGAAATTCTCACTAAACAATAAGATGCAGGAAAAATACAAAAAATTTAGATCCAAGTACCACCATTGATTTAGGTTGCATCTCTCTTACAAAATTACATTACAACAAAAAATGTGCAAGATTTCAAGTAATTAATCAACATAATTAAGAAATATGTATTTGCTGCCATAACTTGACACTTTATTCCATACCATTTTGAATTGATACGTGCTGCTACTCTTAGCAACAGCAAGTTTCTCCAAATTAGTGGCATATTCATTTTTTAATAACGTGTTAATGGATTTAGATTGAAATGAATATATTGTTAAAGCAATGCACCATGTTCAAAGATTTACTATGATTTTGGACACGTGAATGAAGTAATCAGTGCTACTCGTGAAATGCTGGGAGAGAACTATTATATCACAACATCAGAATAGTTTGCTCGTTTCTTCAATGAGATCTTGCAGTCTTTCAAAGATTTAGTAGGTAATTAGTTGCACGTGTCTTTAACTTTAGCTTCCACATCTATTGTCAATCTCTTAATTAATGCAGAATAGTGACCTTATTGCATTGCAACAATCAACAGAGATAGCATGAGAGCAATAATGAATTTCCTATTAGAGAGTTTCGTATAAGGAAAGAGATTCAAGTACAATGCTTCAGCAACGGACTAAGAGCTATTAAATCTGATAACATTTTCCAAAGCTCAACCAGTCCCCTTACAACACAAATAAAAGCACACTAATACAACAATCTGATAACATATTCCAAAACCAAACATTGATATCCGTTTCCAACCCCTTTCTCATTTCCTGCCTCACAAAATTAGAGTGACTAAGATGATTTCTTTATACCATGTTTAATCATTAAGCATCCTCGAGATACTTTTCGCAATCATAAAGAGCAACTACTCACAACATCCACATGGTCTTCCAACAATTACTTCAAATTCAAGAAAGAAAGTCCCTTACATTTAACATTCAATTTTCACGAAAGTTTTGAATTTATTTTTCCCACATAAAACAGCTACGCCGCCATTTCACCAGTGCCTCATAACTATCCAAGAGCTTATCAAGAATAATTCTTGAAAATGCACAAATAAACATGCAAGTAAAAAAACAAATGCACATATAGACATCTCTAACCATTTACCTCCACAATGACTTCCTCGGCTTCCAGCAAGAAGTGCTGTAGTCCTTGCGGCACAGACCTTGATACCGGCTGCGAATTCAAGAAAATTACGACATGTTCAAGTTAATACATTTTTCAAGTAAATTCATCTTTAACACAACCAATTGTATCTGCGTGTGACTATGACCCTATGTAAAAGAGGGAATTCAGTAATTCACATCAATCTTGGTCCATTCAATGGCGTCCCAGCTACCGGCGCCCTCGATCCTTTCCGACTCAGCGAGTCGGGGGGAGTCGGTATCATGGAGCGAGGTGGATCTCATTGAGCGACTTCTCGGTATGTCCATTTTCGTGGCGACTCGACGGCGAGATTTTGGGGCTTTTTTTTGGCTATTGGTGATTATTGAATTTTGATTTTGTGTGTATTTTGTTGAATTGAAGGATATTTCGGAAAAGAATTTCTGTTTGCGGGTTCGGTGAGAGACGTGATCAAGACACGTGATAAGAAGTTGGGACCCAAACCGACAGTGATTCTTTCTTTGCAGCTGGGTTGGGAACTTGGGATGATCCGAATTCTTGGATTGTGTAATAATTTTCAATCCAAAATCAATTATTACGTATTAAATAAAATAACTATTTCCATAATTAAACTCAAAAGTGGTTGTTTGATACTTGTAGTATCATCTAGAAATTCAACATCTTTACGAAAACGAGTAGTAGTCAAATATGCTTTTGAAATTTTTTTAGATAAACATAAAGTTGGGAAATCTATATTGAACATGTTTTTACGAAAAAACGCTAACTTAAAGGTTGAATAGTCACGGCGTTGTCCAAGATTCAAAAAGTAGGAATCCTACCTCTTATAAGCTAGCGCCTATTCTTGCCAAGCATGCTCATTGTAGAGTTCGACTTATACGGATATCATTATAAAGTATTGTAATAATATCGCAACATGTTGGTAACGACTAGTTGACAAATTATTCTGGAATCAAAGCCAGCCTAAGTTCGAACCACATACGACAACAGAGATCAATAGTCATGGTTGGAGTGTCTCGACACCGTGTTTCAGATGTTCAAGATCATGAACATGATGGAACCAAGAAATGATACCATCCATGACGAAACAGTTTTAAGCATAAGCAAGCAAAATGCTACAAAAAGTTTAGCTCTGTAGTCAATTCCAGAAGACCAATATAGAAATTTGGATTATACAAGTAATTTATAAGTCGGGAAAATATTTCATTTCACCAGACGAGACAGTATAACGCTCAACAACATATCAAACTCGAAAGAGCAAGCTGGAACAGGAAGCATCCAAATTCCAATGTGCGTGCTTCATGGAGGAGAAAGCTCGATATGGTGCCTTGTATACAATACTTCATGTACAACACAACTATACAATAACTGCTCAAGTATAACGAGGATAGCAAATCACAAACATTAAAACCAATCCGTGGCCAAAGAGAGAAGCTTGTCACCGAATAATCAATCACTATTTGTTTCTGTATGTACAGAAGCCTCGTGAACAAGGCAGATGATTGATCCCTTCTCCTTGTATGACCCTGAATGGGAATTGATTAGGAATCTACTTCATAAAGAAAACTCCTTAGATGAACCGAACATGAGAAAATGAATGCTACTACCCATTGACACATTTGTCAAATCTTCAACCAGTGGCACCCTCCACCAGTGATCTGGCATTTACTTCTCTACCAAATCTCCACACATAATTGAGACCAAGAAGTAGCTCAATAATCAATTTTTCTGTCTTTTCCTGATTTGCAAAGTAGAGGGTTTGTACAAGAAGCACATTTGTTCGAGAAACTAAGTTATGGTGCTCAAAGCTCCGTTCTGACTGCCATCTTATCATGTTATGAGCAAGTGGAGCTAACCAATCTAGTATATCCGACATCGCCTGATTCCATTCTCCAGCAAGAGCTGTATTATATAAAGACGAAGACAGACTCTTAGTAAATGGCTTTAGTTTAACCCTGAGACCCGCCCTGATGCTAGCAGGCAACATGTTGTAAAGGTCACTTCTTGCTTCATTACCAATCAAATGAGGAGATGCCACCAATTTCTCAATTAAAATGATAATATTTGCATAGTGCAGTGCTAAGGCGGCTGCTCCAAGAGTTTCAGGTGGGGCATTCAACAGCCGGTTCTTAGAACCGACTGATAGATTCCCATGAGTGGAGTTTCCAGGAGGATGTAGTTCTGTATTGACATCCTTAGTCACGTCAGGAACTCGAACATTAATGCCACCAATCATGCATCCAGTTAAAGGTCCTGATACGGTTAATCTATTTGGTTTTGAATGTGAGATTTTCTGTTTTGAATTCGAAGATTTATCACGGAACTGCCAAAACCTCGAGCTTTTGGTTGCTTTGGGTAACGGGGCAGATTTTTCTGTTGACCTAACAAGAGGACCAGAATAAAAGCTACCAGCACTACGTCTTCCAGAGATGGGGCCTGATGCTGTAATTGAATTTCCATTTCCAAGAGGGCCCGAGTGAAAATTGCTAACATTGTTTGCTCTCGGGATTGGGCCAGACATAGAATTCGTGCTTCCTAATGAACCCGATAAATACCTAGGGAAGCTATTTTCGGAAGGATGAACTGATGATTGCGTGAAGAGAATTGACTGGCTGCGATGACTATAATTAGAATCCGAAACTCCAGAATCTGTGACCCCCACATCTGCCACATGATTGATTCCAAAAACATGTCCAAGCCTACCATATATAGTAAATACAGATCTAGCTAAAAGATGAATTGTGTAATCATAACTCTGAGTCCAAAGAGAATTCTCCTTTAGATGCTTCAATTCCTGCTTCTTCCACACAACCTTCTTTTCATATTCAACCAAACTAATGCTATCCACATCATCGTTACCCTTCATTCTCTTCACAGTCTGCTCAAGATCCGCAAGTGTGTCCATTTCTTGAAATAAATTTGCATTCGTGCTGATCAACCGCTCCATCTTCTTAGCTTTCTTGTCCATTTTATTCCACGTGAATTGCCAACCATATGTGTCAGCACCAATCTTTATCAAATCATTATAGGCTTGCTCGAAACCCCTTAACAGAGGATCGCTACACTGCTTGGACAGCCTCACCACAGCTCGTGCCACTTGTCCTAAGTTCTCCATAATCTCTATACATATCAACCTCACAATGCGCTCATCATCCTCCGACACAAGCTTTTTAATTCCCACTGAATTCGTTATCTCCTCCCTTAGTCTAGCAACTTGCTTATCAGTAAGCGACTGCCATAGGTGAAGCAGTTTAGACATCAAGCTTGCTGCTTCAAAAGCCAAAGCCCCAATCCGTGCATTTCTGGAATCAAAACCATGCTTCCTCGAAGTTCTCCACAGACTGCGAAACCATGATTCTGTGACCATTTCTAGCCTCTACAAAAAACGCAAAACAGCGGTCTCTGAGGAAAAGTCCAATCAAACGCTCTGGACTCTCAAGTGAGAGAAAAATAGGACAAAAAATAGCTGCAAAAATAGTAATCCAAGTAAATAGAATTAGCTTTGTGCCCAAATCAGATAGTTCAAGCAGGAAAAAAAAATTATGACGAAAATTAACTTCCGTAAGATGTAGCGCCGATCTTCTCTAAGTTAAGCAAATTTACCATATAAAGATGTGTAGCACCTTGTTTATAAAGAACATCTTCTCCTTCCAAAGATTCCATTTTTATTTTTTTTCACTTTTATTTTCCTTTTCAGTTGGCCCCCAAAAGAATCTGTTGCTATAATCAATTTCTTGCTTATTTTACATATCAAAATTCGATATCCATCTCCATTTACTGGTTATAAACTACAGAATATTGCGAAAGAGGTTAAAAATTCATTAAAGGGAAAATTTTAAAAAAATAAAAATTGATATGGGGAAAAACCAGAATCAATATCAAATAATCGAAGTAACATTAACAAATTTGAAAAATAACTACTGCAAAAAAATTAACAGCACAAGAAATTCTTCAAAATTTTGTTAGTACTTTTGCCTAACCAGATTAACACGAGCAGACTATGTTCCTTGATTTTTTTCACTTCGAACACTGCATCTATAAAAAAAAGAAAAAGAAAAACAGGGAAGAATTAAAACTAACTCAATATTGAGCTTTCTGCAGGAGAAGCAAAGAGAAATTATAATAAGAAAAAGTCGACGCTCACATATTATTCTTTGGGTTGGAAAAAATGGACCACGAATTGAAACTCTTAGAATCAACAGGAATCACGAAGTTCAGCGTAAGCTATGGGTTTGTGGAAAGAGGATAAAGGAAGGAAAGAGAGCAGAAAGGTGCAGTAGAGACCAGGAAAGGGTCACGTGCACAGAAAGAAGACGAAATTGGAGAAAACTCAGAAAAGTACAAAACCGAGTAGAATTTATGGAGACGTAGACATTCATTATTTTGCACATCGACTCCCTTTGTATAGTCATACTTTATGCTTTAAGCCGCGTATTAATTTATGAGTAGAAAATGGCCTAATAAGATAACTTCCTATTCAATGGGGTTGAAATGCATAAATTGTTAATTTTCGTTCCTCTTGATTCGTACAAATTTTAAAAGTTGAAGTCCGTCAATACTTGTCCAATTTTTTGTTTTTATACGGTCAAACCGAGTAAGCGTACAAAATGGTGAGAAAGACAAAAAAAAAATAGAGAAATGCTACGCTTACATTTGGTACACAATTTAGTACACGTGTGTGGGTCCCACAATATGGATCCAACCCCTATGAAAAATATGGTCGTTATCCATCATATCAAGCTATCAATTTTAAATTTCATCTCTTGTCTGGGTCCCAATAACGGTTATATTTTTTATTCTCATTTTACAATAATGAGAATCTGAGAGTCGAACGGTCCCTTAATAAATTTTGGAATAGTGATTATTTGAAAAATTAAACTCAAACATGCTCTAGGTTTACATGTAAAATTATTTGAGGTTATTAGGCTAGGTACGGCCCCGTTAGTTAAAATATTGATTAATACACTTTGACTTTCAAATTTTTTTTATAATAGATTAATGTGTAAGTTAGAGTCGTCCTTTATTTTTTAAGTTCTTAATTTAAAGTTAAAAACTAAAAGTTTTTGTTCAAAAATCAGATGATAATACATTTTTTAAATATTAATAATAAACTAATAAAAATAGAAAAATCCACAACCCCATCCAGTGAAACCCTCACCCCTACCCAATAAATAGTACGTTATCTAAAAATTTGAGTCGTGACTTATAAAATTTGTAATTTATGACCTATAAATTTTTTAATTTGTGATCGATGAATAAATTGTGATTTATAAAAGTTTTGATTTGCGACCGTGAATTAATTTGCGACCTCTAAATTTTTTGATCCGTGATCGACAAATAATTTGTCACCAGTTAATATAATAATTTGTGGCCAAATAGTATAGAATTGTGACCTTGAATTAATAAATTATATTTTAAATTAATTAGTTTATAAATTAAAGTTAATTAATATCTAATTTTTAAATTTATAACATCGTTTCTTATTTTTGAAATCGACTATACTTAATTACTTAAATATGAAATTTTCCTAGATTAATTAACATTATATTCTATGTTGAAACTTGAGAAAAAACCCAAATGAGATTCAGCCCAACCAAACCCTAACGTACTTATAACTGCCACACTGTCACTCCATCGATCATCATCATCGACACCACTGGAGATACTTAGATACTTGTAAATTAAATTCCATTGTATTATTTTCTAAAATTTTCTTTTTTTGCACAAAACCTAAATATGTTATTCTCTATGTCCATTTTCGACTATTTTTGCCATTTTGATTAATTGTAGGCGACTTCAGTGTAAATATGTGATTTCTGTTGAACTTTTGTTGATTTCTCTTGCACGTATGATAATGGAGCAAAGAAGATTATTCCAAAGTCATAGCTGCAGTTCCTTAATGTCGGCACCATTGTTAAAGTGAACAAATGTTGGTTCTTTCCATCAGCAAATGATTATATAATTATTGTAAGCAATTAACAGTTTCAATTGTGAATTTTTGTATTGTTGAGAGCTTCTTTTTGTTGATATATTTGTTAGTTATGAATTAAACAACAAAATTTTACATGAGTCCGGTTGATGATCAATTCTCTCGTCACTACATCTGTAATATTTTTTGTCTAATTGTTAGTAATTTTTGTCTGTGCACACTCACAATGATCGGACATCCACCCCTTCGAGGTGGCTGGGGCTCCCCTGGTTGGTTGCAGCTGCACGTTCTTACGTAAGAAAAAAAAAGTTATTTTAGTCATGATCTGCAGGTACAAATCATTTAAATGTTTCAAAAGGTTTTAACTATATGAATGTAATGTTTAAATTACAGTCTAACTTTCTCTTCAAACGCTTCAAGAAACAATCATTCGTTTGAAAGCGTTTGATTTTTAGTCATAAGAATAGGTGTCTTGTGGTTTAAGCTTAAAAATAGGTGCTTAGGTTAACATACAAATTGTTTGATTTTTAAGATGAAAATTGTTTAATTTTTTCTGTAGGACAGTCGAGTGTTAGAATTAATGTTTATGGTTGAATGTTTACAAAATTAATTTGAAAGTGTTAAATTGTAAATAAATTTGTTGTGGGCTGTGTATGTGTGGTGGGGACAGTATAGATAAAGAGCAAGTTAATGGGATTCACATGACTAGACTGTGTTTTTGTAAGTTCATCCCCTCTCTCTCTCGCCCCCCTCCAGATGCATACATACGTGTAATTAATGAATTGCTGAGAGAAGCTCTTACAGGCAGTGGAAAAATACTACTTTATAGATCTCGTGTGTGTAGGATTTCAACTTGTTTCTAGCTTTGGATTTCACTCTTTCTTGATTGAGCATCGAATTCATATAAGATTGAAAAGGTCAATAAATTGGTTGAATTGATAGATGACGGTAGCGGTGAATTGATTTAAAGATGCTTAATATTTTGATTGATGTTTTATCGATGAACTGACTTAAAGATGCTTGGAGTTGAACGGAGAAAAAGGGGGACGGTGATTGTGTCACTTTTTTAAAATTTATTTTTGTTATTTTATTGAACTAATTTTAATGTTTTAATTTGTATTCTATTGCTTTTTTGAATTTTTGTCATTTTTTTAGTGTTTGTAACTTTTTAAATTTTCTGTCACCTTTTTTTAGTATTCAGTACTTTTTTTAAATTTCTATCACTTTTTAAAAATTTATGTCAATTTTTTATTAACAAACATCAATTTTTTATTAAAATGTGACATACGATGTCATTTTTATTTAAAAAGTGATACTTAACTTAAAAAGTGATATCGCGTTACTTTTTTTTTTTTTTACTTTGTATCACTTAATTTTACACAATATTTTTTACCTTTAAAAAAAAAAATCGATCACTTTCTTAAAAATTTTGACCTTTTTTTGAATGACAAACATTACTTTTTAATTATAGTGAAAAGTGATATAAAAAAATAACATTGTGTCACTTTTTAATTAAAAAAATTAAGATTAATTTTATGCATTATTTTTTACTTTCAAAATACTTTTCATATAATTTTTCGAAAGACTCCTAATTTTAGGAGTATTTTTGCAAGTTGCCAAATTATTTTATTGAAATAATATATGATTGAAAATGGATTTTAAAAAAAAATGAATTTTAGGAAAATGGGGTTCAAATTAGGACTAAATATGACACATATTTCGCACGTGTACACATTGTGACGCAAATTTTCACGTACAATTGCAATTAAATTTTGATCCTCTTTAGAAAGTGACTTTAGACAAAACTATATGATTTAGCTAATGAGGATCAAAATCAGATTTTTATAAAAATTGATGAAATGCGTGATTGAAAAGTTGTAACTCTTATGAAATGTGTGATTAAAAATAACTATTGATATCAATTTAATTAAAATCTAGATTTTAATATGTGGACAAGGGCTTAATCAAGAGATGGTAATAAAATTGAATTGCACTTGTGTAGGTGAGTATGACAAGTGTATTTTGCATGTAGTTCCAATTATGAGTTTCGACTGTTTCACAAGAGAAACTTTAGACATGAATATGTGAAGATAAAATTAAATATTTTTCACTAATTTTCAACAATCTATTAATAGCCCAATTTTGATTGAGTCCTCGTTTGATAGAGATTAAAACCCGATTTTTAGTAGATCTCAGATATAATTCGATAACTTATGTTATTGAAAAGTAATGTAATCCATAAAATACGTAGTTAAAATTAATTGTTAACTTTAATTTAGATTTAAAAATCAAACATAAGCAGAAATTTGATCAATAAATCTTTTTAAAATCAATATGATAAATATGTATGCAATTTATTATTTTACAATAATTTTATAAAATCTTGTCGACATTCATTATTAGAAAGAAAAGAAGAGAGGCGATAAAGTAAGTCATGTCGAGATGATCAAGGAATTCTCAAAATCAAAGTTGGCTTAATAGAACACCAAAAGTCCCACATTTTTGGTAGCTTTCTCCAAAAAAATTTAAAATTTATTTTCAAATAATTTTCGAGAAAATGTTTTTCTTCCATTATAATTTAATATACTTATTTTCATAAATTTAATTTATCGAAAAAAATTATCACAGAGAAGTAATAAAAATAATTTAAATATTATCAACGAAAAATTCTAGGTAATAAAATTAATTTAAGATTAAAATTAGAGTTTTTGCTTGTGATTATTAAAAAAAAAAAGTCTTATTAAATTTAATGTATCAACAAAACTACTGTCGTTAGATAAATAATAAAAGATATCAAATGTTACCTTCAAAAAATTATGTTATTAACTAAATAACATTTAAAAATTAGGGAAAATTGCGACCGCGGTCCCAAACCTTTCATTTTGTTGCAGATTACATCCAAACCTTTTATTTTTGCAGCCGAAGTTCCAAACATTTATATGTAGAAAATTTTATCAACGTAAAATTCTAGGTATTAAAATTAATTTAAGATTAAAATTAGAGTTTTTTCTTGTTATTATTAAAAAAAAAAAGTCTTATTAAATTTAATGTATCAACAAAACTACTGTCGTTAGATAAATAATAAAAGATATCAAATGTTACCTTCAAAAAATTATGTTATTAACTAAATAACATTTAAAAATTATTTAAGATTACTAACGAATTTTCATTACATAGCTCCTGTTCGACAACCATTAAACTGAGTTTTTTGAGAAAATGAGTTTTAAAATAGTGATTTTTTGGAGAATGTGTGGTTAAGAACTTGGAAGAAAATTGAATTTGTATGCAAAATATTTTATTGTGAAAGTGTGATTGAAAATGAATTTGAGAAAAAAAATTTGTTTTATTAGTTGTCAAACTGGGGCGTAATATTAAAGAAATACTTATTTTCATGAATTTAATTTGTCCATGAAAAAAATCATCTATGAGTAGATTAATAACAATATAAAAATTAAATAATAATTTAGAATTTTTTTCAGTTAGAAAAATCGTGTTCGGCATTAGCATTATAGTCATGACACCAACAAATTATAACCGTCATAGGTGCCAATGATATAGTTGACGTTATTGATATCAATAATCACTAACAAATGTGTGTCGATGATCGTCGATGATATCAGTGTTTATATATTCTATATGAATGGCAAATATTGATTAATTTGAGTCGCGTCAGTTACAATAGCAATGTTGGCAATCATCAACGATCATTTTCTTCGTTTCATTATTATTATCATTTTCTCCTTGAACTTCATATAGGAATATGAAATATGAGTATTGGATGAAGAAATCGTTTTTATTCTTGTCTCCATGCTTCGCAGGAAAAAGGATATAGGGAGAGGAAAAAAAAATCCTTCCACAACTTATGCAAACTGATAGCCAACAACTTATTTTTTATTATTTTTTCAATAATTAGCTGAAATTACCAATGAATTTACTAATAGAATAATTCCTTTGGCAAAATTTCGTTGCTAATCCATTGAAAAAAATATAAATATAGAATATAAAAAAAAGTCCACCCAGTGCGTCCTCACTCGAGTCCCGCCTTTACTCATTTTTACTCTTAGATTCTTTCATTAGTTACTGAACAGATCGAAAAACTGACGATTCTGCAAGGAGAAGAAAGGAAAAAAAAAAACAGAATAAAGCAGGAAAACAAACATTCTTCCTTAAGGTTTCTGCTCGGTTGCTTCCATTATCGCCACCAAGAAGCGGCGGACGTCTGGCAAACGACGTAACTGTCAGGTAACTTTACACGAAGGAGTTTTTTCGATAAATTTTTCTTTTGATTTCGGTGAAAATTATAAGATTAATGAGTATTCCTTTTGTGTAATTTTGGAGGGATTCTCTGAGATTTCTTTGTCAAGAATTTTATATCTCTAATTAAACTAAGGATGCATTTGATTGCAAGGGTGGAAAATTGGTGGAAAGAAAATGATTTTCAGGGAAAATAAGACCATGTTCTTTTTATCGTTTTCAAGTCGTTTTCTATTTTTAATTTTTCAAAATAGTAAAAATGTATTCTCTTCCTTATTTTTAAAAACGCATTTTTGAAAATGGGAAAAAAAAACAAAAAAAAAACACAAAATGACTAAATCCTCGTTTTGGAAAAAACTGGCAACAAATCAAGGAAATTGGCCCAAACACGGGAAACGCCTTTCTGAATTCTCTTTTTCTATCTCTCCCATCTCCCGTAATGTAAGACGCTCTGGATTTCATCTCACAAACCCACAACCCAAAATTAAAAACAGATCATGTTGTCAAATCGAAGGGTTCTCTACGGGATCTTCAAATCAAGGTTTTGAGCTCGCCTTTCCGAATCGAAGGCTTCTCTTTCCGTTTTGATCTAGAGTATTCATATTCTCTATATATTATTGTCCTGGGAATTTATTTACTTCAAGATGTTGTGATTTTTATGCATTTTTTATTGAATTATTCGTTCAATTTAGTACAGGACCTAGTTCCGATCCTTTACTTCAGCAAAACCAGAGGCAAATTTTGGTTTTATTCGGGTAAATTACGAGATCCCTTTTTGATCATTTGTACTAAATTTTGATAAATTTGGTAAAGGTTGAATATTGAATTGTGGGTTTTACTTGTTTTGAAAATTGGGGTAATAGGAAAACAATAGAATGTTGAATTTCAGGTTTGCTTGGTTCGAAAACTGTGGCAAAATGGGAAAAGATCGAACTTTCACCTGTGGGGTTTGCATATTTGGGTGTATTGGTTGAAATGTAAATGAATGTAGCTAATGTACTCGTTTATGAGAAGAATTTGTTTTATTATTTGCTCAATTAATAAATTAAAAAAAAAAAGTTGAATTTTATAGCTTTTCTGCAATTTATACCCTAAGGAAGCATTTGGAACAATGAGAGTTTATTCTTTAGCAATGATAATTGACTTAGTTATTACATTGTTTTGAAATTTCAAATATTGATTATACCAGCTAGAAAAGTATCGATTTCACTTGAATTTCTTCTTCCTTTTTCCGAATGTAGATTGCTTCATTTATTCTTTGAGTAGTCTAAGATTTCCTTCCATGGATACAGCTACAACCTAAGTCATTATGTTGACCTTTTGTTTCTTGCCAGAATTTCATGAATACAGGTCAAAAGTGATTTCATCATGCTTTCATTTTAGTAAATTATTGCAATTTTTCATTTTTGGTTTAATATTTTTTTCTGGTCTTTTGATTATGTTGATTATTCATTTTTGGATTTTAAAAATGCCTATCAAACAGAGCCTAAGTTTCTTCTGGTTCATTTTTGATATTCTTGAATAATGTTTTCCTTTTGATTCTGTTGAAACTTGGAAGTATAGAAAATGTGGGTTTATGTGATTTTGGTGGACTTTTGTGGGATTTTATTGTCAAGAAGGCAGCTACTTTGCTTATAATTGGAATGCATGTGTTCTGCCTCAAGAATTGAGAAATGAACCAGAAATAATAGGTACTTCTAAGGAATTTTTTTATTCTATTTTGTTCAATCCAGATGACATATTTTAAATTGTCAATGAAATCAAACGTGGCCATATTAATCATGATCGAGTGAATTGAATTGTTTGTTCGCGTCTAGGATATATATGTCCCAACCAGAATCAAAAGGAAAGCATTATCCAAAAACGCTGCATTCTGTGTTGTGAAAAAAAATTAAAGCATTCAATATTTTATTACAATTGTCAAATATTTTATTCATAATTCAATAACATTTCATAATTATATGTTTCAATATTGTCAAATATATCATTCTTGTTATATGCAATCAAACTATCATTCAATCACCGATACGAGCTTGTCAAAGAATTAGAAGTCAAGAAAGAAAGAAGAAAAGAAGCGAAAAAGTATGTGAAGATAGATATGAGATTGTTGACTTGTTGTGAATTGTGTTTGTTGATCTTTAGACGCAAGTTCCCAGAGTTTAGCTTACAAATTAAAAAGATGACAATATTTTTTTTGTCGACGACTTAATAAAGGACACAATATTTTTCTAAGCTAGCCATGTTCAATTCGCTTTGAACTTCATTGTTAGATTTTCTAATACAAATAAAACAAACTAATAAGTCTTAGGCCCTATTTGGGAGGGATTAAATTTTTCTACACTAAATCAATTCTCATTTTCAACCANTCTAAAAATTCTACAGTAAATCAATTCTCATTTACAGTCACATATTTTTCAATAAAATAATATTTTACATCACATCAATAATTTTTTCTTTTTTTTCAACCACACATTTCCCATCATATTACTATTCAAAATCAATTCTTCCTCCAAAAATCTCTCCCAAACAAGCTCATTGTCAATATATTTGAACTCGGGTAGAAAATTTTTATTTTCTTATTAAAAGAATAATTTTTTTTCAAAAAATATATATTAGTGATCCAAATTTTTGAGGTTGCTCACTTGTTACATCTCAAATCAGTATTTGTTTTTATATGCCGTTTAGTGTACCTTTGCACAATAGATATAGCTCGGTTATAGTTAACAATAACCGTCTATATAACTATTAAAAGTCATTTATTCTAATTGAAAAGACAATATACTCTTATTGGCTATTGCAAACCTAAATTTGATTTTTGATATATAAAAAAGAATTAAAAAATCAATTTTTAAGTTGAAAGTTGGTGGGTTACGTACGTGACTTACCAGGGTGTTGCTGAGAATCAATCTGGAAACCTAATCTTCTCCCCACTTCAGCACTTGCAGTTTTCCACTAAGACAGCTATGGATGACACGCTGAAGAGGAGCATGAAGTTCAAAATCAACTTGAAGGGAGTAAGGCATGAATCAGAAGACAAGTCACGTGAAAACATGATGATGCTTGTGACTAATGTAAGCAGAGATGGAGTTACATAGAATGTAAAACCTATTCCAGTCTAAATATCTATGTCAGGCAACTCTAACATGCGCAAGTCTGGAGTGATCCTTGAGTGTCGAAGGGAGAAAAAGCAGAGGATGGATCAAAGTTTCAAGCAACACTGTAGTAGCATTTTAAGATCATTGATGTGGCACCCTCACAGTTTTGCTTTCAATCAACCAGTTGATCATGTGAAGTTGAAGATTTCTGATTATTTTTTAATAATCACTGAACCAATGGATTTGGGAACAGTAAAACTTAAACTAGAGGACACAGTAGATGCTTTGATGCAGAGGAATTTGCTAGTGATGCCAAGCTAACTTTTTCCAATGTGATGCTGTACAATCCTCCAGGGAATTATGTCCATAACTTTGCGAAGGAATTGAATGATGTTTTCAATAGGAGATGGAAATTACTGGAGACAAAATTAAAGTGCGAGCCCAGAAAGAGCAACGAAGGTTCCTTCAGATTTAACAGAAGGAAAGGTGAGTAGGTTTAGTGGTGCAAACAATCTGGTTCTGCGAATTGGTGTGATTCTTTCTTCCTTTAGCTATTCTGCGCAGTATTCTTTTCTGATTGCCACGATGTTGTCCTGCACTTGCTTCTCTTCTCTATCCTTAGTTTGTTGCTCCTTTTTTGTTGTTACTATACCTTTCTTTTCATAAATTTTTGAGTTTGTATGTTTTTCTTAACAGGTGAGCCCGCAAGAACAACACAAAGTGGGCACCCCACGCTAGGGAAAACTTTTCATAAAGGTTTGAAATGTGACTCAATAAATCTTGTGCTTTCTGGCCCTTTATGCGACCTGATTGGCCATGTATCTTGTACACAGATAATGGCAATTGAAGTGCCTGTGTTGCTGCCGATAGAAAACAACCACTTGATTCCCCTGCAATCGAATGTTCTACATCTGGTGGTCTGATGTGCCAGCCTTATAAGATGTTCTGTTAAGCCATCTTCCAATGGTGAGTTAAATTCATATTTCTGCTGTTTGTCTACTCCAAGTATGTTCCTGTCAACCAGGGGCGGAGCGCCGGAGCCACGTTAGGCCCAGGATGGAACAGGCCCCCCCTCAAGTTCTGGGCTAAAAATTTTTTTTTTGGGCTCAATTTTTTTTAGTTATAGAAGTCTTACCGTTCCAGTCCCAGCCCAAGAGAAAAAGGCCCAAAACTTTGAGCCCAATTCCAACAATTTAAACCTCATTCACAATTCACAAATCAGTCACGACTCCATCCTCTCCTCTGCTCGCCTGCTCCTGCTTACTCATGCTCCGCCTCCACAGCTCCTCCACCAATCACTAGTTCGCAGCCTGAAGCCTGAAGCTCCGGCATCTTCGTAGCTCCGCTCAACAACCGCCGTTCAGAACTTCCACACAGAACTTCGCAGCCTCCGCAATCGCCAGCAGACTGTAGAAGGTAGAAAATACTTTTCTTTTCCTTTCTTTTCTTTTCTTGTTAATTTCAATCTGAGTCAATCTGAATGTTAATTTCAGGTAAGCTTGGGTCAATTTACTACCGATTTTGAAGTTCAGGAATGTGAGTTCAACATTTGGGCTAGTTATGATGCCTTAAATCATCCATGGGGGTTCTGGAAAGAATCAAATTTATTTAATTGCTATCTGTTCTATTATTATTTATAAATAGGTACTTTATTTGTGAATTTTAGTTATAAGAGGAGTGTTCTTGGAGCAATATCATTAGCGATTGTATGCATTACTAATGATCCATGGTTCCATAAGTTTGTAGACTACTAAATAAGTTTTACCATGTGGTTTCAGACCTTTTCTACTTGCCTAATTTTTTCTTTCTTCTCTTTGGAATTGTTTATGCCTCCTCAGCATATGAAGATGAAAATGCATTTGTCATGGATTATTCATTTAGTTATCATCTGTTTTTCGTATGCAGAGTTTAGTTGGGAAGATGTGAAAGCTGATAAACATCATGAAAACTATTTAGGTCACAGTCTCAAAGCACCTGTTGGAAGATCGCAGAAAGGTAAAAACATCTCTCAATGCGTGTGTATATATTTGGCTTGTACTGGATGTTCAGTAGTCAAGCTTGTGATTTTGTTCTCTTTTTACTGTCTTTCCTGGTCATCAACTAACCGTCACTCAATCCATCACCGACTTCCAGTTTCCTTATTTCTGAGTTTCTGCTTTTTCCATGGAATGCACGACAGAAGTAATTCTTGGGCTTTTCAAATACTAATAGAGTTGTGAGTTGGCACTAGCCATTTCTATTTTAATTTTCAAAATATGTCCTAACAGTTTGCTTGGAATACGAGATCAATTTCTCTCATTCCCGCCAATTGAACCTTGTGCTTGTTGAACCCCACTGTCATTTTGGAGAAATCTTGTCTAACTCAACTTTTTGCAAATGTTTTATGATAAAGATACGAGCCTATATGTGTAGAAATATAAAGTGAACGTCCCTCTATATTTATCAACAAATTGAGCTGTAAAGCTGAAGACTTTGTATAAAGATACATGTATGTATGTTAGATAGCTACCCTTGTGCAGCTAGATTCAAATAATCTTACATAATTGATGTTTCTTGTATGACTAGTTGGTGAGTTATTGTTTGGATACTACTTTAGCTATGGTATGGCAAATTTTCATCAACTCGACGATGTCTTTTTTTTTTTTTTTGGGTGAAACTGTCAAACCTTTTTGGGTGATGTGGTTGAGAAAACTAGTTTTTGTGTTGTGCATATGATCTTGTTGATCGTCTTTCAACTGGTTCTTTATTGTCCTTGTGAACGTGCAAGTTCTTGGTTTCGTACGATGGTTTTCTATAAGAATCGTAATTTATGTTTCTTCCAATAAGATATGAAAAGTATCCGGTAGGACATCAGACCAACATCATCTCGTCAAGGCTCACCATATCAATGTGTACCAAATACCTCCTAGTAACTGGAAAGTCATCATTGTTATACCCTAGGATTCTTGTAAGGATCAGGATGTTTTCCCTAGGAATTTTTTACTCGGCTACTGCTTCTTTGGATCCTATATTTTTCGCTGGTACCATGTTGACGATCAAGTATGTGCCTTCCCATACAGTTGACCTTGTTACTGAAGTCATAACCTCCAATCTTTTTCTTCCACCTTAGGAGGTGTCAAAGTTTTCAAAATTTCTCCTTTTGGCAGCAACTAATGAATTTCTACTCCTCTTGGTCAAGAGATTCGTGGACATGTCCAACACACTTTTATGATAAATGAAGTCTCACCTTGGATGTGTACTGGATTCTTAACATATCTGTGTTAACTAGGTTCTTCGAAATCGAGTTCTTTAGTTTTAACTTCTAATAATGAACTTGATGATGAGGACATGAATGAGAATCAGACCCATTTGGACAATTAAAAGGGTATATTGTATAGAGTCCTGTCAGCATTTCCCACACCTCCAGAATGTATCAAATCCTTCCCTTTTATCCTTATTTGATCCTCCAGGTGGTTAAGTTCACATTATTGTTGCTTGTCTAGCCTGTTAGACATGATTTTGAGTAGTTTTGTACCCAAAACAAGTATTGGGTTATAAGGATTATAGGATTCCTAGCTCTGTATCAAATGGATGTGTACTGGATTCTTAACATATCTGTGTTAACTAGATTATTTGAAATCAAGTTCTTTAGTTTTAACTTCTAATAATGAACTTGATGATGAGGACGTGAATGAGAATCAGACCCCTCTTGGGACAATTAAAAGGGCAGACTGTATAGAGTCCTGTCAGCATTTCCCACAACTCCAGAATGTATCAAATCCTTCCCTTCTATCCTTATTTGATCCTCCAGGTGGTTAAGTTCACATTATTGTTGCTTGTCTGGCCTGTTAGACATGATTTTGAGTAGTTTTTTTACCCAAAACAAGTATTGGGTTATAAGGAATATAGGATTCCTAGCTCTGTATCAACTCAGTCTTTCCTCCGTTTGTAAAGCATATTGTTCAGTATTGGAAAGAAGAGGAATAATAATCATCTTGCCACTTATGGCAGCTCAGTCCTGACAAGTAACCATTTTTGAGTTGCTCATCAGTCTCATGGACGCCAGCTTGAATTGATAAGTTACAGGATTTGTAGAATAATTTTCAACTCTAAGGTCCTGTTGACACAAACTATGGTATCATCTATATAAACCCATTATATAATCAATTGGCAAAAATGGTTTCTCAAATTTTGCATCAACTCCGTAGTGCGAATCTCTGGTTAGTCTGTTACCTTCTTGTGATTTCCTTATGCTTCACAAGTTTTTTCTACCATTGTTGCACAACTCTTATTAGATAATACTATCATCATCACCAACAGTACCTTTTGTTCTTTAAGAATTTGCTTTTGTTTAAAATACTTCTCCAAGCTTGCTTCCAAATCAAGGAAGTCATTTGCGTGCATTTTTCTACGGAAATTTGAAATTTCAATTGGAACTCCTGAATTGAGATCAAGAGCTCTCGCTAACTTCATTGCTACTGCACATGTTTGGGATTCATATGAATTATGGGACTATGGAAATGACGTTCCTCATACCTAATGATCATTTCCTTCCAAAAAAAAAAATTCACTAGGCTGATGTAAAAAGACTTGTTTGTCCATCATATCCTTCAATAAGAAAAAATAACAATACATACAGAAAAATTCAGTAAAATATATATTATCCCCATTCAAAGCACGCCAATGGATATATTCTAACCGTTATTTTAATGATATTAATGATAAAATAAAAATAGGAACATAAGTGGGAAAATACGAAAACGTTGAAATCCCTTGTTATAATTAAAATGTGGTTCATTTAACGACTGTGTGGATATAATTATTAATGATCTCGTAATCTCTCTTTTTTATTTGATTTTAAAATTTTAATGGTTTAACAATAACTCTCGTAATTTCCTTTCGAATTCATATAATCCATTAATGATTATATTACCAAATATATAAATGCATTGTGTGGCACAAGTGCAATTTCTTCTAAATTTAATTAGGAATCGTTCGAGGAATTTAAGGAAAACATTACATGTATTTCTCTCGAATTTTCATATAATATTCAGTCCACTTAACCTCTGTTTTCTCTTTTTAATCTGTTCTTCAGCTTCTTCTCCAATGGCATCTCCAATGGCAGACGAGCCTACTCATCTGGTATGTATATAGTTTTATGTATTTTTTATGACATAAACCTTCATTGATCGTCTCATTTATTGCAGAAAATTGTAGTGAAAGTGAATCTCAATTGCTGTAAAGCATCTCCAAAGAAATTGGAGAAAGCATTGTTGAAACTCACAGGTAATTACTAATTCCACGCACACGATACAAGAGAACTGCAAAATCAAGTACATTTTGGTCAAGGATATGCGCTTATTTTTTTGAATTAATCCCCATATGCAGGGGATTAATTCACAGGAGCTCGCCAGGGCACTCACATGGTGGGCCCCACAATGTATTAAAAAAATTCTACGTGGGCCCCACATGTGTGAGTGGCTTGTAAGGGACCTGTGAACCAGGTCCCTGTATGTGAAGCACGGTCCTATTTTTTTTTCTTATATTTTTAATCTATTATATGCATGCGTCAATTGATTTTTTTAAAAACGAACTTCTTTGTATGTAGGGGTCTCTTCATTCACTATAAATATAGAGGAAAATCTTGTATCAGTCTCAGGGACAGTGCGTCCTGATACAATTATCAAACTTATTTATGCAAAATTAGCAAAAAAAGCAGAACTCGTATCCTACGAGCCACAATCTACAAAGGACGACGGGGTTAAACCTAAGAACACAAACACTGAGGAGGAAGACAAAGATTTGAACAACAAAAGTAAATCTCAACACAAGGGAAAAATGCACAAATCTTGCTGCTGTCAGGATGGAAAGTGCCCTAAGATGGAGAATAATGTGCATAAATGCGAAGAATATGCTGGACCCCCCGAGGTTAAAGATTTTGTGTGCAGAGATTATTTCTGCAAAATACATCCAAGGAATCGAACAATTACTAATAAGGTGCCTGAAAACGAAAGTAGTGCCAGACTGTATGGCTATATGCCAAACTACGCGCAAGGGTATAATGGCGGACCAAATCCTTGGTATCCTATTAGAGGCTCGTATTATCCTAGGTGGTACCCAGAGAGGCCACCGGCTCTATATGAATATTATCAACCGCCAAGGAGGCCACCACCTTCATATGGTTTCTACTAGAGAAGGTGCATGCTGGCAAGGTTTATGTCTTCTTCCTGCATAGTTTACATACATTCTTCTACTTCAATTTGTGAGATTTTGAGTTCCATTTCAATATTATTATGGCTTATAGTATAACTTCAATTTTGATATCAGGGTTAATTATGATTTGTCAATTTATGTAGTCCTCTTACCAGTAGTTCATAAGTTAGTCAAATGCAACCAAATACTATATCATTTGCGCAGACAAACACAAGTTGAGGCCTTGTTTGATTAGCGGAATTTTTCATGGAATTAGGAAAATATTTTCCATTTTCCACTTTTTTGACCTTTTGATAGGCGAAATTTTCCGCGGAAAATGTTTTCCCTCCCCACCCTCCACGCGCCTATTTTCCGGGTTTTAGGTGAAAGTTTTTTTGGATGACTATTGAATTTTTTTTTTTTTGGCAATAGAAACAAATGTTAAAACCAAGTGTAAAAAGAAAATTCACTTTAATAGACAATTTTTATGTAAAACAAAGTCAAACGAATACCAAATTTCGATAAAAAATAATTTTTTAGGAAATATATATATATTTTTTTTACTTTTTGGCAATGGAAACAAATTTTATAATCAATTATGGAAAAAATTATCACTTTAATGAACAATTTTCATGTAAAATAAAGCCAAACGAATAGAAAATTTTAAAATTTTTCGGGTATAAAATTATATCAATCAAACACACTTAATTAACAATTCACTAGAAATCATTTTTATTCCACTCATTTTCCACCCTTAAAATCAAGAGAACCCGTTTTAAACTAGAGACATTAGTAAAACAGAAAGTACAATTTAAAGATGTTTACTTTGGGTTCGTGAATAAGAAATAGACTCCAAAATTGACAAATCGACGCCGTGCTTGCCAATCAGTAGTCAAATAGGAGAATATATGCAACGAATTACCATATCAAACAATATGTAAGTTCTAAACTAGAAACATATTATCCGAACACCAAGTTCAATTTTCAATTTTGTTTGTGTAGGAGAAAAATAGACTTCACGCATTAGCCAAACAACGAAATATCAAGTAAGCATGATATCTCATTATACTTATGGTCCAGGGGTGGAGCCACATGAGTAGAGTTGTTGGGACAAATTTCACAAAAAATTAATTATTGGGGGTAAAATCGAAAATTATAAGGAATTTTTTTTTTTTTGAAAATCTTGAAAAATCTATAGCAAAATCTTTGATTTAAAATTTGGTGTGCGACCTCACTTCTACTTTATATTGTCACGTGCGAGGATATAAGTAACATAATATTTATGCGTTTCATATTTTCCTAGCTATTTATTGTGTAGCACAAGTGCAATTTCTTCTAAATTTAATTTAGGAATCGTTTTGAGGAATTTAAGGAAAACATTACATGTATTTCTCTCAAATTTTCGTATAATATTCAATCCACTTAAACCTCTGTTTTCTCTTTTTAATTTGTTCTTCAGCTTCTTCTCCAATGGTAGACGAGCCTACTCATCCGGTATGCATCTAGTTTTCTATATTTTCTATGATATCAACCTTCATTGATCGTCTCATTTATTGCAGAATATTGCAGTGAAAGTGAATCTCACTGGCTGTAAAGCATCTCCAAAGAAATTGGAGAAAGCATTGTTGAAACTCACAGGTAATTACTAATTCCACGCACACGATACAAGAGAACTGCAAAATCAAGTACATTTTGGTCAAGGATATGCGCTTATTTTTTTGAATTAATCCCCATATGCAGGGGATTAATTCACAGGAGCTCGCCAGGGCACTCACATGGTGGGCCCCACAATGTATTAAAAAAATTCTACGTGGGCCCCACATGTGTGAGTGGCTTGTAAGGGACCTGTGAACCAGGTCCCTGTATGTGAAGCACGGTCCTATTTTTTTTTCTTATATTTTTAATCTATTATATGCATGCGTCAATTGATTTTTTTAAAAACGAACTTCTTTGTATGTAGGGGTCTNATTTCTCTCAAATTTTCGTATAATATTCAATCCACTTAAACCTCTGTTTTCTCTTTTTAATTTGTTCTTCAGCTTCTTCGCCAATGGTAGACGAGACTACTCATCCGGTATGCATATAGTTTTCTATATTTTCTATGATATAAACCTTCATTGATCGTCTCATTTATTGCAGAATATTGTAGTGAAAGTGAATCTCAATGGCTGTAAAGCATCTCCAAAGAAATTGGAGAAAGCATTGTTGAAACTCACAGGTAATTACTAATTCTATGCACACGATACATGAGAACTGCAAAATCAAGTACATTTTGGTCAAGGATATGCGCTTATTTTTTTGAATTAATCCCCATGTACAGGGGATTAATTCACAGGGACTCACCAGGTCACTCACATGATGGGCCCCACAATGTTTTAAAAAAATTCTACGTGTGCCCCACATGTGTGAGTGGCTTGTAAGGGACCTGTGAACAGGTCCCTGTATGTGAAGCACGATCCTATTTTTTTTCCTTATATTTTTAATCTATTATATGCATGCGTCAATTGATATTTTTAAAAATGAACTTCTTTGTATGTAAGGGTCTCTTTATTCACTATAAATATAGAGGAAAATCTTGTATCAATCTCAGGGATAGTGCATCCGATACAATTATCAAACTTATTTATGCAAAATTAGCAAAAAAAGCAGAACTCGTATCCTACGAGCCACAATCTACAAAGGACGACGAGGTTAAACCTAAGAACACAAACACTGAGGAGGAAGACAAAGATTTGAACAACAAAAGTAAATCTCAACACAAGGAAAAAATGTACAAATTTTGCTGTTGTCGGGATGGAAAGTGTCCTAAGATGGAAATTTTGAGTTGCCTTTGAGTTACGTACATTCTTCTACTTCAATTTGTGAGATTTTGAGTTGCCTTTGAATATTATTCTGTCATATAGTATAACTTCAATTTTGATGTCAGGATTAATTATGATTTGTCAATTTATGTAGTCCTCTTACCAGTAATTCATAAGTCAGTCGAATGCAACCAAATACTATATCATTTGTGCAGACAAACACAAGTTTAGGCCTCGTTTGATTGGCGGAATTTTTCATGGAACTAGGAAAATATTTTCCATTTTCCACTTTTTTGACCGTTTGATAGGCGAAATTTTTCTCGGAAAATGTTTTCCCTTCCCACCCCCCATGCGCCTATTTTCCGAGTTTTAGGTGTGGGAAAAAATTTCCAGGCGGCTGCTGAATTTTTTTTTTTTGGTAATGGAAACAAATGTTATAATCAAGTGTAAAAAAAAAAATTCAATTTAATGGATAATTTTCATGTAAAACAAAGTCAACCGAACACTAAACTTTGATAAAAAAT